GCACATCCTTAGCACTGCTGAGGAGGCGGGAGAGGCTCCCACCACCACCGCTGTACTGGCAGCCGTCAGCCTGGCTTGTGGCTGAGCAGAGCTCCCCTGTGGGAGCGCACTGACCACCAGGGGGCAGCTCCTGCATTGAGCGTCTGCCCCCTGGTGGTCAGTGTGTGTCCTAGTGACCACTCATTCCCAGTCATTCTGCTGTTAGGACCAGTTTGCATATTACCCTTTTATTATATAGGATAGAGGCCTGGTGCATGGGTGGGGGCCAGCTGGTTTGCCCTGAAGGGTGTCCTGGATCAGGGTGGGGGTCCCACTGGGGTGCCTGGCCAGCCTGGGTGAGGGACTGATGGCTGTTTGCAGGCTGGTCAAGCCCCCCCCAGTGGGGACCCTCACCCCATGGAGTTTTGGCCAGCCTGGGTGAGGGGCTGATGGCTGTTTTCAGCCTGACCACACCCCCTTTAGGGTGGGGGGTTCCCACTGGGGTGCCTGGCCAGCCTCGGTGAGGGGCTGAGGGCCGTTTTCAGGCTGGCCAAGCCCGCTGGCGACAGAAGCTCCCAGCCTCTCCTTTTTTTTCTTTTTTTTCTTTTTTATTCTGGGATTTATTTACCTTCTATAATTGAAACTTTGTTGCTTTGAGTGGACCTCAGAGCCAGCCGCAGCAGGGAAGCTTGGCTTCCTGCTCACTCCACCTCTGTGGCCACGGCCGGCTGAAAGCAGGTATCTGGGATTTATTTACCTTCTATAATTGAAACTTTGTTGCTTTTAGTGGGGCTCAGAGCCAGCTATGACAGCTTGGCTTCCTCCATCATTGGGGCAACCAAGCCCCCTGCTCGCTCCAGCTCCGTGGCTGCCAGCCAACATCTTGGTTGGGTTAATTTGCATTAGTCGCTCTGATTGGCTGGTGGGCGTGGCTTAAGGCATAGCAAAGGTATGGTCAATTTGCATGTTTGTCTTTTATTAGTGTAGATTATTTTCCAAATAAACAACTGTAAACCTACTTTTGCCCCATCCTGTATACTAACTATAGTAATATACTTAACATAGCAAAAGTTATGTGAATGGCTTTAGGCCCATTATTAGGTAAAATAAAGGTTACTTGAAAACAGTACAGAATAACCTGACCACTGATCTGATAACCTAGAGGGCTACTAAGTGACTAACGGGCAGATAGCATATTCACCATGGAGACACTGGACAAAGGGATGACTCATGCCCCTGACAGGACAGTTCGAGATTTCATGAAGCTACTCAGCGCAGAATTTAAAACTTATGAAGATAAGAGATGACTACTATACATATGTGTTAACACTTGGGGAATGTGAGTAATGGGAATATGGGAGTCTTTTGCACTACTTTTGCAACTTTTCTGTAGGTCTGAAAGCTACTGAGAAGCTGGTTTTATAATTTAGATGGAAATAAATACAAAAGATCTAGAATAGCCAAAACAAGACTAAAGTTGGAAGTCCAACACAATCTGTTTTCAATATTTTCTATTAAGACAGTGTGGTACTGGCATAAAGATAAACATACAGCCCTGGCCAGTGTCTCAGTGGTTAGAGCGTCAGCCTGCTCACCAGTGTCTTGGGTTCAATTCCCGGTCAAGGGCATGAACCTAGGTTGCAGATTCGATCCCCAGCCAGGTCAGGGAGCATACGGAAGGCAACCAACCTCCCTCCCTCCTTCCCTCCCTTCCACTCTCTCTAAAAAATCAAAGGAAAAAATATCCTCAGGCGAGGATTAAAAAAAAAGATAGCCCTAGCCAGTTTGGCTCAGTGGATAGAGCATCAGCCAGCAGACTGAAGGGTCTTGGGTTTGATTCCAGTCAAGGGCACGTACTTTGGTTTGATCTTCAGCCGATTAGGGCATGTGCAGGAAGCAACCAATCACTATGTCTCTCTCACAATGATGCCTCTCTCTCTCTCTCTCTCTCTCTCTCTCTCTCTCTCTCTCTCTCTCTCTCTCCCACACACACACACACACACTCTCTCTCTAAAAATCAATGGAAAAATATCCTTGTGTGAGGATTAACAACAACAAAATAAACATAAATATCAATGGAACAGAGAACACAGAAAAAAATCTCTACATATATGGTCAATTAATTGTCAACAAAAGAGCCAAAACAATTCAATAGGAAAAAGAAAGTCTCTCTCTCTCTCTTTTTAAAATATATTATTATTGATTTCATAGAGGAAGAGAGGGGGAGAGAGATAGAAACATCAATGATGATAGAGAATCATTGATTAGCTGGCTTCTACACGCCCCCCCACTGGGTATTAAGCCTGCAACCCAGACATGTGCCCTGACCAGGAATCAAACCATGACCTCCCAGTTCACAGGTCAATACTCAACCACTGAGACACTCCAGCCAGGCAGGAAGTATCTTTTAAAAAAATTTTTTTTAATAAATAATTTTCAACAAACATGAAAAATGCATCTCATCCTCTATTTCACACAATATACAAAAATTCATTTGCAATGGATCAGAGATCTAAGTGTGAAACCTAAAAATACAAAGCTTCTAGAAGAAAACGCAGGAGATGGTGGAAAGCAGAATAATATCCATCTCCTCCTCCTCCCCAACCTCCCCCCACTCCCCCCCGCAACCTGCCGCCATCAAAAGGTTCCCACAGTTTAATCCCTGGAACCTGTGAATATGGCAAAACAGACTTTGCAGATGCAATGAAAGATCTTGAAATAGGGAGATTACCTGGGTTATCCAGGTGGGTCCAGTGTCTGTATAAGAAAGATGGAGGCAAGAGAATCAGTCAGAGAAGAGATGAAGAAGATGTTAGAGTGACGTGATTGCTAGCTTACAGTGGTCGCCAACAGGTGGTCCACAGACCACTGGTGGTCTGTGAGGTCCGAAGGTTGGCAACTGTTGGCTTAGAAGCTGGCGGAAGGGGCCACAGGCCAAGAAATGCAGGCAGCCTCTAGAAGTTGGGACAGGAAGGAAAATGGATTCTCCCCTGGAGCCTCCAGAAGGAATGCAGCCCTGCCATCTCCTCGGATATTAGACAACTACCTCCAGAACTGTACGATCATAAATGTGTGTTGTTTTAAACCACTGAGTTTGTGACTATTTGTTACAGCAGCAATAGGAAACTAATACAGGCACCATTACTTTGTGGTAGGAAAATACCTCTTATAGGACACTAAAGGTACTAAGTATTAAAAAAAAACAAAACCTGGATAGATTGGACTTCATCAGAGGCACTGTAATGAAAAGGCAAGTCACAGACTTGGGGGGAAATCTGCAATACATATATCTGAAAAGAGACTGAAAAAAATACAGAGTTAATGCCCATGACATAAAGACAAACAACCTAATAAAAAAAATAAGATGAATGAATGACTAACAAGTACATGAAAGGTACTTATTACATGTCATAAATGGTTGGGAAAATGCACATCGAAGCCACAATAAAATACCACTACACACCATCTGAATGGCTGAAATTTAGAAAATTAAAAAGACTGGCAATATCAAGAATGGGTAAGGATGTGAAGCAACTAGAATTTTCATATACTGCTGAAGGGAATATGAAATGACACAACCATTGTGGAAAACTCAATTTCTAATAAGGTTAAAACATATATTTAACCTAAGACCCTGCAATACCACTCCTAGGTATTTAACCAAAACAAATCTCCAAAAGATGCTTGAACAAAAATGATCCAGCAGCATTATTCACAATAGTCAAAAGGTGGCCGGAGATACCAACAAGAGGATGGAAAACAATCGTGGTCTATGCTTACAGTGGAATACGACTCAGCAATAAAGTGGAACAGGCCACTGACATAGTCACAATATGGGAAAATCTCCAAAAACCATATGGTGAGTGAAAGAGCCACCCACAAAAGAAGTACACACTGTGAGATTCCATTTATATGAAATCCTAGGACAGGCAAAACTAATCTATACTGACAGAAAGGAAGTCAGAGGTTGCCTGAGCTGGGGGGTGGAGGGAGGAAGGGCATGGTGGGGAGGGAGGAGTGACTATTAAAGGGACACAGGGAACTTTCAGTGACGCTGGCAGTGCTCTGTGTCTTGATTTGGGAGATAGTTGCACAGGTGCATACATTTGTCAAAGACTCATTGGCCTCTTGACCTCTACAGTAAGATCTGTGTATTTCATGGTATGCAAAATAGACCACAATTAAAAACAATTTCTGTCCTGGCCAGTGTGGCTCAGTTGGTTGGGCATCCTGTGCAAAAAGAAGCTGCCAGTTCCATTTCCAGTCAGGGCACATGCCCGGGTTTTGGCTCCATCCCTGGTAGGGGGCCTGAATGAGGCAGCCTACTGATGCTGCTCCATGCTGCACTCTCAAATAGATGTTTCTCTTTCTCTCTCCTTCCCTCTCCCTTCCTTTCTCTCTCTAAAAATCAATAAACCATTCTTTAAAAACAAAAACAAAAAATTTCTCACTGCAAGGAAAAAACACATCTTGTAGAAAACTGGTTTGTTCACTTAAAATTATAAACTCTCTTTGTCACGGCAGGTCTATTTTTACCCAAAAACATTTTGTTGATTAGCTAGCTAACTATGATCTCATCGATCCAGCTCTAATTAATTCAACCAGGAAAATAAAAGGATTGTGCCAACTTTTAAAAATATTCGTAATAGAGCAAAAGGCATTCCTTCTTGGAAACATCTGTTACAAATCAAGTGACTAACAGAGGCAACCCACACAATTCGAAATCTCAATTGGCAGGGACATCTGTGAGAGCCCCTGGGGCTGGGTAAAGCAGTTTTGCTCTCCAGCAGTGACCGAATCTCAGAAAAAACACGTGCCTCTGGTTGTTTATGCCACCACAATGCAACTGGGTCTCTTCCCTGCTCTGCACTGTTTATCACCTGTCTCCTCTGTACACCGGGCTCCTCCAGAGGGCAGTGGTCAGGGTGACTCATGTCCACTCGAGTCTGGCACCCACGGCAAGCCAGGATGGGGCATCTGGGGCAGGGATCAGCCGGGGCCCATCGCAAGTCCCTGCTTACCTCATAGTCTTGCTCCCCGGCCCCTCCAGCCGAGCTGCCCACCAGCACCTCCACAAAGGCCGAGCCATCGTTCCCGATGTCCACACTATGTATCTGCTCCTCCTTCTCTAACTGCAAGAGAGGGAAAGCCCATTGTCAGTGCCTGCTCTGCCCCAGGGCTCACTGTAGGACCTTGGGAGTGGGATGACCTTCATATGAGCCACCATATCTCCTTGCAATGTCAACTCTGGGGCACGTAGGTGGCCAATATTGAGTGGTGCCACCTTGTGCCCAGCATGTGGCATTCAGAGCTCAAAAAATATTCACTGGCCCTAACCGGTTTGGCTCAGTGGATAGAGCGTCAGCCTGCGGACCCTAGGGACCCAAGTTTGATTCCGGTCAAGGGCATGTACCTTGGTTGTGGGCACATCCCCAGTAGAGGGTGTGCAGGAGGCAGCTGATCGATGTCTCTCTCTCATGGATGTTTCTAACTCTCTATCCCTCTCCCTTCCTCTCTGTAAAAAATCAATGAAATATATTTTTTTAAAAAGTAAAAATACAAAAAGAATTGTCTTAAAAAAATAAATTCACTGAATGCATAAACCCCCACACCCTCTTCCCCAGCTCCTCCAGACTCTCCAGACTCTGCCAGACCAGCTTATAATCTGCTCTCCTTGGCAGCACTTGCCAGAGTTTCCACCCCCAATCACAAAGGCTTCTGGGGAAGTTCCCTGAGGATAGGGCCCTGTTCTGGTTTTCTCACCACTGCTTCCTGGGTTCAAAACCCAGCTCTGCCAAACACTAGCTATATGGCCTCTAACCTCATGGAGCCTCAGTTTCCTCATCTGTAAAATGGGGATGATAACCATATCTATGCACGTAAATACTATGGCCACAGGGCCCGTATGTAATAGGCACTCTACCACTGTCAGTCAGGAGGCATTATTAGTCAACTAGAGGCATTATTAGTCAACTGAGGAGGGGGGTCTTCAGCCCAGCCTGAGCCCTCTCACAGTCCAGGAGCCCTTGGGGGATGTCTGACGGACAGCTTAGGCCCGTGGGGAGTGGGCCTAAGCCGTCCGTCAGACATCCTTAGCGCTGCTGTGGAGCCGGCCATGAGCCCAGCTTCTGGCTGAGGGACGCTCCCCCTATGGGAGCACACTGACCACCAGGCAGCAGCTCCTGCGTTGAGCGTCTGCCCCCTGGTGGTCAGTGCATGTCATAGCGACAGGTCGTTCCGCCATTGGGTCAATTTGCATATTAGCCTTTTATTATAGAGGATGCTCAATAATTATCTGTCAAAAGAAGGAAAGAGCTACCTGTAGGACCTGCCATCCCCTTCTGACATTTAAGGATGCAGAAAGCCAGGTGGGGGTGGAAGGCAGTTGGGAACAGCTGAGGCAAATCGCCTGCTTTCCAGTATAAGACTCCTGTATTTGGATCCTAGAATGACAAGTTAGCCCACATGTGTGGCTCAGTGGTTGAGCACTGACCCATGAACCGGTTCAATTCCCAGTCAGGGCCCGGATTGCGGGCTCGATCCCTGGTCGGGGGTGTGCAAGAGGCAGCCAATCAATGGTTCTCTCTCATCATTGATTTTTCTATCCCTCTCTTCCTCTCCCTTCCTCGCTCTGAACTCAATGATAATTTTTAAAAACCACACATACAGAATGACAAGTTATTCCAACCTTCAAAGGTACCTAGTCCACCACCGCTCAGATCACCTACCCCCACTGCTCAGATTATCTGATGCTCCAATCTGCCCTGTCACCTCCCAGTCAGTTCACACAGACATCACCTGCACAGGGCTACACACAGGAGCATCCGACATGGAAGGAAGGAGCCTGGACTTGGGATGAGTCAAGCCTGGGTTCAAATCCAGCCCTGTCATTTCTAAGAGTGCAACCCTGGGTGACATACAACCTCTCTGAGAGGCAGCGAACTCACATGGTAAAGGGAGGGTCCTCATTGTTATTATAATAACCCTCCTTCTGAAGCGAGCTGGATGACACAGATACTAACAACCATAACAACAGTTGCTGTGAACATCTAAGGGCCCACGATGTGCCAGACACATAATGCATGCATCTTCTCTCCTCACAACGGCTTTGCAAGGCAGGGCTATAATTATCTTCATTTTATACATGAGCAAATGGAGGAAGGAAGTGGTTATGTAACTCCCTAAGGTCACACGGCTGGTGAGCGGCAGAGCTGGGACCAGAGACCATGCAGGCTCGCTAGAGCTGGTTAGGGCTCCTTCCCCACCAGGTGAGCATGCTGAAGAGGAAGTGATGCGGGAGGGGCCTTCCCAAGGTTGAGCCGTGCTGGCCTCCTGACGACTCTGCCTGCCTCCACTGCTGCCCTCAGCTCAGAGCCTTCGCGGGTGTGGTGCTGCCCAGGCACTCAAGTCCCAGCCTGACTTCTTGGCCTCCTGCCACACGTGCTGGCTCTCCTCCAGCCATGCTGCCTTCCTTCTGTCCTGAGAACAGGCTGGCTCCCTTCCACCGCAGGGCCTTTCCACCTGTCATCCCTGCCCAGTCTACTCCTCCCCAAGCCTCCTGTGGCTGGCGCCTTCCATCCTTCAGGTCTGCTCACATGTTGCTTCAGCCCAACCAAAGTAGCCTCCCCACCTCCTACCAGGTGCTTCTCTAGCCCCTGTCCCTGCTTTATTTTTCTTCATTATCACCACTTGATATTATATAGTTACATTTTTTATTTGTATTTGTCTAACACCTGTCTTTTAGGACGGGCAATATGACTCATTCCCTACTGTGTCCCCAATGCCAAGAACAATGTCTGATCCATCCCAGCTCTGCTTACTTACCGCGGTGTGATCCTGGAGCAAATGGCTTCATGTCACCCCTTGGGCCTTAGTTTCCTAACCTATAATATGGGGACAGTAGCAACGTCTACCTCATACAGCTGTGAAGATTCAAATGAGGAATACACATGAAGCCCCTTGAATAGTGCCTGCCACAGTGCAAGCGTTCCATAAATGTCAGCTGATCCTATTATCACAAGAGGCCTCAGTACAATCCTGATGGATGAGTGAGCAGATGGACGGGAAGCTCCCAGTGACCATTTGCTGAAGAAACAAATGCCCTGAGTTGTAATTCTGACTCTACTCTCCCTGACCAAGCAGCTTTGGTGAGTCGCCTGCCTCAGTGTTCTCATCTGTCACAAAAGAATCACCATGGCTAACATTTCTGGATTCTCGCTGAGCGCCAGGTGCGTAGTATATTCATTTCCTGCTGCTGCTATAACAAAGTACCACAAACTTCCTCGCTAAAAACAACACAGCTCACAGAGCTGGAGGTGCGAAGTCTGAAATTTGGTCTCACTGAGTAAGATCAAGGTGTCGGCAGGGCTGTTTCTTCGGGAGACTTTGGGGGAGAAGCACTTCCTTGCCTTGCTCCCAGAGGCCACCTGCCTCCATGGCTTGTAGCCCCTCCCTCCAGCTTCAAAGCCAGCCATGGCATCACTCCAACCTTTGCTTCCATCACCACATCTCCTGCGACTCTGGTTCTGCTGCCTCCCTCTTTCCCTTATAAGGACCCTTGTGGTTATAGTGTCCTCTCCTCCCCTCCCCCCAATAATCCAGGTTAATCAAACCATCTCAAGATCCTTAACTTCATCCTATCTGCAAGGTCCCTTTTGCCATGTAAACTGACATATTCACGGGTTCTGGGGGTTAGGATGGGGCACCTTTTCAGGGGCCATTATTCTGCCTATCACAGTTGACGAAGCTCTTCCTGGGCCAGGCATCACTGAATCCTCACAAGGGTCAGTTACTATCCCAGTTCTTCAGATGGGGAAACTGAGGCTCGGTTTAAATAAACAGCTCACATGTCACACAGAACTATGACTGGCAAAGAAATGTGGGCCCAGCTTTCTGACTATAAACTAACACTCCTTCTCAACTCCCCTTCAGGTAAAAATGCAATATCTTTACCTCTCCCACAACATAAAGCACCAGGCCCCACATTTAGTAGGATGGATATATTTTGTATTTTAAATGAATGAGTCTTTTAACTACTACTTTGCAAACACATAGATTCCCTTGTATTTTCTTTTTTCCTTTCCTTCTTTTTATTACCACATACTTGGCTTAAAACAACATACATTTATTATTTCAGTTTCTGTAGATCAGAAAGCCAACACAGGATGACCAGATTCTCAGCTCAGGGTTTTACGGGGCTGAAATCTAGTGCTGGTTAGGTCTGTGGTTCTCATCTGGGGCTCAGGGTCCTCTTTTAAGAGGACTGGCTATTGGCAGAATTCATTTCCTTGTGGTTGAAGGACTGAGGTCCCCCTTCCTAGCTGACAGTCAGGACACAACTCTCAGTTGCCAGAGGCCCCTCACATTCCTTGTCACATGGCCCCCACAGGCCGCTCAGAACATGGATGCTCGCTGCTTCTTCCAGTCAGCCAGAGTGTGTTTCTCTGACTTCCTCCGCTGTTCTTTCCTCTTTTTCATAAATAAAAAATTTTTCATAAAAATGTGTATACATGGAAAGAACCCAAATCAAATGTCCTCAGACTTATGAATGGATACACATTGTATGGTCTATCCCAGTGGTCGGCAAACTCATTAGTCAACAGAGCCAAATATCAACAGTACAACGATTGAAATTTCTTTTGAGAGCCAAATTTTTTAAACTTAAACTATATAGGTAGGTACATTGTTATTCACTTAATTAGGGTACTCCTAAGCTGGCCTTTGCTAAAAACATCCTCAATCTGATTGAAGTATGTTCGCTGAGGTTGACCCCTTCCAACTCTCCCATCCACACTCGTCTTATATACTTGTTTCGTCTATCTCCTTTCCGAAAACCGACTTCTGCGCAGGGGCCACGAAGTTTCAATCGCACTGTACGTGGGCACCCGCACGTGGTATTTTGTGGGAGAGCCACACTCAAGGGGCCAAAGAGCCGCATGTGGCTTGCGAGCCGCGGTTTGCCGACCACTGATCTCTCCAAACGATGGATTATCACTGAACTCTAAAAAGGAATGAAGCACTGACACATGCTACAACATGGAGGAACCTCGAAAACTACGCTGAGACACCAGACACAAAAGGCCACACATTGTGTGAGCCTATTTATATGAAATGTCCAGAATAGGTAAATCCATGGAGACAAAAAGTAGATCAGTGGTTGTCAGGGGCAACCTGGGGAAAGGAGAACAGGGAGTGACTGCTTAATGGTTATAGGGTTTCTTTCTGGGGGTGATGAAAACATCCCCAATGAGTGGTGGTGACTGCAGAACACTGTCAATATACTAAAACCTCTTAACTGTAGACTTTAAATGGTTACAATGGTGAATTTTATGTCATGTGAGTTTTATCTCAGAAAAAGAGTGTTCAGTAAGTGTCAGCTGTTAGCAGAAGGGCTTAAGCACAAGATGACAGTCATCTGCGGCCAGGTTTGTGGGCACCTTTCGCAGGAAGTCATAATTCATGACAGTGAAACAAATGGCACATGGAGATTTGCAAAGTTCCTAAGAGACATCTTGTAAAAACTGTTCCACACCCATGAAAGGCAATGTTATGTATAATTTTAAAAGAACAAACTTTAAAAGGTAGAAATTTAAAAGGTAGAAATCAATGGCATGAATCTCCAAGATATAATTATTTGAAAAAATACTATGTAATTTTAATGTTTTAATATGTTTTTATTGATTTTAGAGAGAGAGGAAGGGAGAGGGAGAGAAACATCAATGAGAGAGTCATTAATCAGCTGCCTACTGCACGCCCCTCACTGGAGACTGAGTCCCCAACCTGGGCATGTTCCCTGACGGGGAATCCAACCATGACCTCCTGGTTCACACTCCACCACTCAGCCACACCGGCGGGGCTCTCTCTCTCTCTCAACCTCTCTGTCTCTAAAACAAACAAAAAAATCAATAAAAACATATTTAAAAAACAAAGCATACTATGGAGAGCAGCCAGACCCAAAAGTATATACTGTCCGATTCCATTTACATAAAATTCAAAACCAGGCAAAACAAATCGATGCTGTTAAAAATCAAGATCATGGTTACCCTTCTGGGGGAGGCAGTGACAAGAAGGAACACAAGAAGGTCCGGGGGGCGGCATGTCCTGTTACTTGATCTGAGTGTGGAGCAGGTGACAGTTACGGTCTGTGAGGATTCACAGAACCGTGTGCTTTGCTGTACACGTTTCACATAAAAAGAAGGTGAAAACCAAGTTAAAACCAAGTGATTTGTAACCACTGAGCCCTGGCCAGTGTGGTTCAGTTGGTTAGAGTGTCATCCAGTACACCAAAAGGTTGTGGGTTCGATTCCTGGTCAGGGAGCATACCCAGGTTGCAGGATCAATCCCCAATCAGAGTGCATCTAAGAGGCAATTGATCAATGTTTCTCTCTCCCACACTTCCTCTCTCTCTAAAAATGTCCTTGAGTGAGGATTAAAAAATAAAAAGAAAGAAAACCACTGAAAAACAAAAAAGAAACCTGTGCCACCTTGCTGTTGAACATTTCTCCGAGCAACCCACCTCCAGGGGGGCACTGGAGCTACACCTGGGCTGTGTGCCAGCCATCCCCTCTGGCCAGGAGAAGTAGCAAACAGATGGACTCTCCCCTCCCGAGAGCAAGTGGTGGCTTGGCCACAGAGATTCTATGGCCGTGGCAAACAAAAAAGGTACGTGGGCTATCAAGAGCACAGGGCTAAACCCTACGTGGTAATATCCAGGTGTAGCATAATATTGTTGGGAAGGAAAAAAAACACAGATTAGTTTATGTGTCCTGATGTCCAGAAGTTTTACCAACATCACTTGCTTGAAAAGAACCAAAAGGAGCATTCACTGAATATGGAGTCACCCTGCATATTGGCAGCTGCCAAAAGCAATCAGAGTTTCCAAAGGATCTCTGACATGAGCTAAGTTAACCACTGCAATGCCGCTTGCTCAGAGACTTGCCCCCTGCAGTTCATTCTCAACACAGAAATCAGGATTCTGTGAGAACCCAAGTCAGATTCTATTTCTTCTCTGCTCAGAGCCTTTCAGTGGCTCCCCTCTCAACCAGAGTAAAAGCTTAAGTCCTAACAATGGTTTTCAGGCCTTGAGTGTCATGGGGCCCTCCCCCCCAACCCTCTTAGCTCATCTCCAACTTCTCTCCCCCTGGTTAACTCTACTCCACCCCCATAGGCCTCCCAGCTATTCCTCTCAGGCCAGCATCAGCCCACCTAGGAGCCCAGAAATCTGCATGGCTCACAACATAGCTCACTCTGCTTAAATGTCACCTCAGGGAGGCCTTGCCTAACTCCCTATTTAAATAAAATCCTCTTGCCTGGCCGGTGTTGCTCAGTGGTAGAGTGTTGACCCATACATTGGGTGTCACGGTTCCATTCCCAGTCAGGGCACAGGCCCAGGTTGCTGATTGCGGGCTCCATCCCCAGTGGGGGGCGTGCAGGAGGCAGCCTATCAGTGATTCTCTTTCATCATTTATGTTTTTATCTCTCCCTCTCCCTTCCTCTCTCTGAACTTAATAAAAATATATTTAAGCCCAACCGGCGTGTTTCAGTGATTGAGCATTGACCTATGAACCAGGAGGTCATGGTTTGATTCCCAGTCAGGGCACAGGCCCAGGTTGCTGGTTGAGGGCTCCATCCCCAGTGGGGGGGCGTGCAGGAGGCAGCCAATCAATGATTCTCTCTCATCATTGATGTTTCTCTCTCTCTCTCTCCTTCTCCCTTCCCCTCTGAAATCAATATAAATATAAATGTAAATATTTTTAATAAATAAATAAATACCTCTTGCCACTGCCTCCTACCCCAGCGGAGGCATTCCTCATTCCTCTTAACTGTTTGTTTTTCTTCCACAGCACTCGTCAGCTGACTTACGTTTTACTTTTGACTTTCCCCACAAACATGAAAGCTCCACAGGACTGACATATCTATGTCTGATGCTGTCCACTGCTATATGGCCCCAATATCTAAAACAGTTTGGCCTCTAGAAGGTGCTTTATAATTAACTAGAGGCCCAGTGCACGAATTCATGCACAGATGGGGTCCCTTGGCCTGGCCGGCAATCGGGGCCAATTGGGGCCCGTCGGCCGGGGGGAGGGACCGCTGGAGGTTGGCTGTGGGAACACACTGACCACCAGGGGGCAGCTCCTGCATTGAGCGTCTGCCCCCTGGTGGTCAGTGCGTGCCATAGCAACTGGTTGACCGGTCGTTTGGTCATTCGGTCGCTTAGGCTTTTATATATACAGTGGGGCCTTGACTTACGAGTTTAATTCGGTCCAAGACCAAGCTCGTTAAGGAGCTCGTTAACTCAAATTACTCTATCAACTCAATGCAAAAAATCGGCGGAGAGACAGCTGGTATCTCAAAAAACTCGTTAGTTGGGACACTTGTAAGTCAAGGCCCCACTGTATAGATTATTCAATGAATGAATGAACAACTGAATCCACCCACTCTTGAATCTATAGGTCCTGTCCCTGTACTGACAACTTCCACACCTGTCTCAGCTCCAGGTCCAATCCGCCAGCTGGATGACGCCTCTCAGAAATCCCAAAGTCGTATCAAACCTGGACATGCTACGTGGACACATCACCTTCTCAGGCTGCCCCTCTCTGGTTTCCCATTTCAGTGACAGCAGCACTGTCTCCCTCAGTCTCCCGGGTCAGAGAACCCTGTGCCTTGCTCCGGCCCCTGGGACTCCCTCACCCCCATGTCCTGTCTCCTCTGCTTTCAGTCTCGCTGCTCCCACTGCAACTGAGGTACAGATTGGGGTGATTCTCCTGGGGTCACAGGAAATTTCCCTAGGATCATGAGAGAGCCCAGCAGGATCATCACTCAGTTATAAAAACAGGAATCCCTCCCTTTACACAAACACCTACCTGTTGACAGGGCACCTCTGCAGACGTTACGTCACCAAATTATCACAACAACCCTGGGCCTGAATCTCATCATTCCCAAAAGACAGATGAGAAAACAAGTGCAGAGAAACTGAAGCGGCCAGTCCGAACTACCATTTCTGCAATGCTGTTGTTAATCTTCACCATGGGACATGTTTGCCATTGATTTTTAGAGAGAGTGGAAGGGAGGGAGAAAGAGGGGAGGGGAGAGAGAGAGAGAGAGAGAGAGAGAGAGAGAGAGAGAGAGAGAGAGAGAGAGAGAGAGAGACATGCTGCCATTGTCCAGGAAAGGAAGCTGAGGCCCAAGGGAAACCCTCAACCTGCTGCCAGCAGACTCCTGAGCAGGGTCTGGACCCGGGTCCAGGCTCCCTTTAGGTCCCACAGCGGTTTTCAACCTGTGGGTCGCGACCCCTTTGGCGGTGGAACCACCCTTTCACAGGGGTCGCCTGAGACCATCCTGCATATCAGATATTTACATGACGATTCATAACAGTAGCAGCATTACAGTGATGAAGTAGCAACGAAAATAAGTTTATGGTTGGGTCACAACATGAGGAACTGTATGTACAGGGCCAGAAGGTTGAGAACCACTGCCTTAGGGGCTGGGGTGGGGGCAGGGTCACCTGGAGCACCACCGAGATGGTCTTCTCGCCCGCCCTGGCCGCGCGCCACTTCCGGTAGGTGTCCGCCTTGAGGAGGTTGTCTGCACAGTGGGTCTGGGCATGGACACAAGAACGGGAAAGGGGATGTGAGGGCACCGAGATGAAAGCCGGGTCCCCCACTTCCAGAGTACTCCTCCGAGTCCTCCCAAGCCCTCCGCGATCCCCCAGATTTAAGTGTCCCCGTTAATTCCCCCCGCGCTCTGCCTTGAGCACCCTACAACACTTTGCCTGGGAAGTTCACACATGAGCTCTCCTAGTCCTCCTTCCTTCCGGAACTTCCACGGACGCCCGGAAGCTCCCCCAGTCCAAATCCCTCTCAGAACCCCCTTATAACCAACCTCCTGGAAATGCCCCCCGACCCTCCTCAGACTCCCCTGAAGGTCCCTTCTACACTCCAGACGTTCTCACGGAGCCAGCTACCTCAGAATTCCTTCATGTCTCCCACCCCAGTCCCTCACCGAGTCCTGGCTACTGCAGGACACCACATGGCGGAGGCGGATCTCCGGCATGTCAGCGTCGTGGGCTTCGCGGGACCTGAAGGACGCAGGAGGGTCCGAGTTTCAGGGGGCGACGAGGGGGTGCGCCCTGCGCGCGCTGAAGTGCGCACGCGCGCGAGGCTCGGGCCTTTCAAACCGCGGCGCGCCGGCGCACGCGTCAACCCGGCGCCAGCGCAGTCCCGCCTCTCCGGAGAGTGGCTCTGAGTTCCCTAGCAACGAGCTTCTCCTCTAGCCCCGCCCCCCCGGCCCTATCACTCTTTAGCCCCTCCTCCCGGTGATGGTCACATCCCGTTTTTTTCCGGGCGCCTAGCAACAGGAGCGGCCTCCGGGATTGGTGCCTAGAAGAGATTCCCCATTCTCATTGGACAACGTAGTCGCCGCCCAAACTGAAGCCTGGGAAGCTAGAGGACCGCAAAGCTGAGCGCATTTTTGCGGAGAGCCCGGAGCAGTGATGGCGAACCTATGATACGCGTGTCAGAGGTGACACGCCAACTCATTTTTTGGTTGATTTTTCTTTGTTAAATGGCATTTAAATATATAAAATAAATATCAAAAATATAAGTCTTGGTTTTACTATGGTTGCAAATATCCAAAAATGTCTATATGTGACACGGCACCAGAGTTAAGTTAGGGTTTTTCAAAATGCTGACACGCCGAGCTCAAAAGGTTCGCCATCACTGGAGCGTACTGCAACAGGATCCTCCACCGGTCCTGCTGCTGCACTCTTCCCCCGCTAGCTTCCCACCACACACACAGGGAAAAAAAATCTCAGCTCTCAGAGTTATGCCTGAGGCCAGGAGAGAGTGCGTCAAGAGCCTAAATAAAACACAAACCAGACACACACACACCCAGCCTCGAGTGCTTCCACCCATGCCTCAGTTTCCCAATGTGACCTGTGGGCATCTCTCCCCTGCCACGCCCGTCCACCCCTGCCGGTTGACAGGCACCCCTTCTGTTCGGATCGACAGGCACCCCTTCTGTTCGGATCCTCGCCAGACCCAGAGAGACAGCCCCAGGCAGGTAGGAGCAGGAGACAGCCTGAACAAAGAACAGGGAGTATCAGCCAAGCCCATGAAGAAGGGAAGGGAGACAAGGCTCCTGGGCCCCCACAGAACGAGCCTGGACAGGCTGGGCGCTCCCAGGTCGGGCCCCACCCACGCAGGGTGCCTCCTTGAAATGAGAGAGAAGAGAGAGGGGTTCTCAGCCCTTGTAGCTGCCCTACACCTACAGGGAATCAAGTGACCTGGATTTTGACCTTGGGCTTCAGGCCAGAAAAAGAAGGGGGGGAGTTGTGAGAAAACAGGAAAGTGCCCCTCTGCGTCCTGATAGAAGGGGCTGGAAGCCCAGACTCCTGGGGTCCCTGTGGAGGAGGGGGCTGGGCACAAGACGCCCATGTTCCTTTTGGATTCTGGTGGCACCTCCCCAACCCAGAGCCGCAGAGGCCTGCCCTGTGATCTTACCTCAGCTCCTTCTCTCCCCGGGGTGAAGGTGGGTCCAGACCCGCCCCTCCTCGGCTTCCTATAAGTACTGGGAACCTGGGGCTGCTGGGTCACACACCATGAGGCCGTCCGTGACACCGAGAGCCTTCCTGCTGGCCTTCACGCTGGGCACCCTGCTGGGTCTCGGTAAGTGGCCAGAGGCCTGGCCTCCTGGCATCCTCCTCGGGAAAGGGAGGACCAGGAGAGAGCAGCCAGCAAGGTCTCTCCGAGGGAAAGAGCAGGCGGCCTGGGAATTCAGGTTCACGTCGAAGGCAGCTCAAAGGCTCTTGGATTGGATTTCTGAGAGAGGAGGGGGCGTGGTGGCTCTGGGTCCTCCGTCTCCCAGGAGGGGGTCTCAAAATAAAATATTTAAACCCTAGAAAGTCAGATGAGAGCATGATTAAGAAGGGAAAATATATATATTTTTTTATTATTAGTTAAGGTATTACAAATGTGTCCTCATCCCCCCCTTTAACCCCCAACCTCCCCCACACACACACTCATGCTCCCATCCCCCTGTTGTCCATGTCCATTGGTTTGGCTTATATACATGTATACAAGTCCTTCGGTTGATCTCTTCCCCTTACCCCCGCCCTCCCCTACTTTCCTTCTGGGGATTGATAGCCTGATTGCTGTTTCTCAGTCTTTGAGTCTGTCCCTTTTCATCAGTCTATGTTGTTCTCTATAATCCAAGGGAAAATATTTTTATAATTTTTTAAATATATATATAATTTTATTTCAGAGAGGAAGGGAGAGGGAAAGAGAGATAGAAACATCAATGAAGAGAGAGAATCGTTGACCAGCTGCCTCCTGCACACCCCGCACTGGGGATGGAGCCTGCAACCCGGGCATTTGCTCTTGGCCGGAATCGAACCCGGGACCCTCCAGTCCACAGGCCGACGCTCTATCTGCTGAGCCAAACCGGCCTGGGCAAGAAGGGAAATTTTAAACTGGGGGGAGAGGGAGAGATTACCTTTTTTCCTGGACTCTAGGGAGATCAAGCCCCCAGCCTCTCCTCCCTCAGGGGAAGGAGCTCAGGCAAGCCCCACCTTCCCCGGGTCCCAGGAGTCTGGGCCCCAAGCTGCCTCCTCTCTCTCTCGGGTCACAGAGTCCATGCCCTCAGCCCTCCTGGTCCTCACTCTCCCTCCTTGAACTGGGATACAGACCTCAGATTCGGGTTCCCCTTCCACAAGACCTACACGTGGTTCCCAGAGAAGGAGGGTCCCACATCCAAGAACCAACTGGGCCTGCAGCTTCACAAAAACCCCTGGAAACCCCCTCCCGGACCCCCTCCCTGTCCCCTCCAGACCCCCTCCCTGTCCCCTCCAGACCCCCTCCCTGTCCCCTCCAGACCCCCTCCCTGTCCCCTCCCGGACCCCCTCCCTGTCCCTCCTGGACCCCCTCCCTGTCCCCTCCAGACTCCTCCCTGTCCCCTCCGGACCCCTCCCTGTCCCTCCTGGACCCCCTCCCTGTCCCCTCCAGACCCCTCCCTGTCCCCTCCAGACCCCCTCCTGTCCCCTGTCCCCTCCAGACCTCCCTGTCCCCTCCAGACGCCCTCCCTGTCCCTCCGGACCCCCTCCCTGTCCCCTCCCAGGACCCCCTCCCTGTCCCCTCCCGGACCCCTCCCTGTCCCCTCCCGACCCCCTCCCTGTCCCCTCCAGACCCCCTCCCTGTCCCTCCCAGACCCCCTCCCTGTCCCCTCCAGACCCCCTCCCTGTCCCCGCCCGGACCCCCTCCCTGTCCCCTCCCGACCCCTCCCTGTCCCCTCCAGACCCCCTCCCTGTCCCTCCCGGACCCCCTCCCTGTCCCCTCCAGACCCCCTCCGTCCCCTCCAGACCCTCTCCTTGCCCCTCCCGGACCCCCTCCCTGTCCCTCCCAGACCCCCTCCCTGTCCCCTCCAGACCCCCTCCCTGTCCCCTCCCGGACCCCCTCCCTGTCCCCCTCCCAGACCCCCTCCCTGTCCCCTCCAGACCCCCTCCCTGTCCCCTCCCGAACCCCTCCCTGTCCCCTCCCAGACCCCCTCCCTGTCCCTCCCGGACCCCCTCCCTGTCCCCTCCCAGACCCCCTCCCTGTCCCCTCCAGACCCCCTCCCTGTCCCCTCCCGGACTCCCTCCCTGTCCCCTCCCAGACCCCCTCCCTGTCCCTCCCGGACCCCCTCCCTGTCCCCTCCCGGACCCCCTCCCTGTCCCCTCCCAGACCCCCTTCCTGTCCCCTCCGGACCCCCTCCCTGTCCCCCTCCCTGTCGTCCCAAGCCCACAGCCTTGTAATTAGGGAAACAGGCTCCGTGGTGGAGTCGCTTCCCGCCTCAGAAGCCGCTTTGCTGGCATCACCAGCGCGTCCCTGGCGGATGCTGGACAGTTCCCCGGACAGCGGTCAGCGCCCCACCCAGGGGCAGACAGCCGCCGGTCCCCCCGCCCTCGGACCCACAGTCCGCCCCTCCCCCGCGCGCATCCCCCTGGTGCCTCGACCCCACCCGCCCGACCACAGCCTGGCCCTCTGCCCCGCAGGGTGCCCTCTGAGCTGCGAGGTGTGCAGGGGCTCCGGGCCCACGTGCAGCGGGAAGATGAAGACTTGCGAGGCCGGCAAGGACGCCTGCGTGGCCATCGTGGGGGAGTCGAGCACCAGTAGGAGTCCGGGCGTCAGACCCGGGGAGGCGGTGGGCGGGCAGGGGCGAGGGAAAGGCTGTTCCGAGGTGGAGGGAGCGAAGTGAGTTCCGTGGAGGGGAAGAATCTGATAGGCCAGAGGCGGGGGCGCATCAGGAGGAAGAGGCTGGGGTGGTTTGGGAGGGAGGGCTGGAGGGAGGGAGGAACAGGCTACCCCAGCGATCGTGGGGGTCGTGCGCGCTGGAAGAGGCCATCCCTGACAGGAGGAGGAGGGATGCTATTGGGGTAGGAGGAGAGAAATAAAAGGAACCACAGTAGGAGGAGAGAAATGAAAGGAACCATCTCCCGGGAGAGGGAGATGACCCCCAAGCATGGAGCTGTAGAGAAGGGGCAGGGAGGCTGCTGAGTAGAAGGGGAGGGGAGGGATGACAAATGGAAGGGGCCAGCCCAGGCCCGAGGAAGGAGGGGGGAGGTGGGGAGCAATGGAGGAGACTGTGGAGGGTTTGGGGGCAGGGGGGTGGGGGGGGCATGGTGCAGGAGTGAAGGCTGTGACAGCAGGGGAAGGGCAGCCTTGAGTGTAGGAAGGAACCATCCCAGCAGGAGGGGTGTGTAAGGAAGGGGGGTAGGCATGGCAGGCTGCCCTCCTGACCTAGTCCGCGTTGGCAGGTGGGGGAAGGACCTGAAAGGGTTGAAGAGACACCTGCCACCCATATAGGAGGGAGCTACAGACCCAGGGGGTGGAGGTGTGGGGAGAGGAAGCTGAGGGGGGAAAGCCACCCTTCGGTGAAGTGAAGAGGGGACACCTTGGGATTGGGGCTGGAAGAGACCACATGTGGGGCGGGGGAAGGCGGTGGAGACTGGAGGAGACCACTTAAGGCACGATCTGGGGGTAGCCAAAGCGGGTGGCAGGAGGCCCTCAGTTGGAGGTCTGGGGAGTGACCATGAGGAAACCTGGAGGAGACGCTTAGACAGGGATGTGGACGTTTCCAGGCGGTGGTGTGGGGGCCGGCACCCCACCGTTTGTTGAAGATGGCTCCCAAGCCTGTGAAGGCCGGAAGAGAGCATCTCATGCGGGCATAGGGTAGCTAGAGATGACCCGGGAGGAAAGCACGATCCACAGGGCCTTTAGGGGGTGGCCATGGTGGGGAGGGGGCTGGGAAGGACCTCCTCTTAGGCAGGCCTGGGCGTGGCAATGGGAAACAGCAAGTGACCACCAAAAGCTGGCTAGGGGCTATGGTAACGAGGTGGGGGGTGGGGAGAGCTACCTAATAAACCACTCCAGACTGCACCCAGGTAGATAAGGGGGTATGGCTGTAGGGGGCGCTGGAAAAGACCATCCTAGACAGTCATGGGGTGGGGAAGCGGTGGGGTTGGGAGAGGCCCCAGGCAGGGTCAACACTACCCACGCCCTCCCCTCCTGTCCCCATCCCTCAGAGGGCCACCACTCAGTCAACAGCTACAAGGCCTGCATGAAGTTCAGCGACTGCTACTCGGGTTTCGTGTCCACCACCATGGGCCCCAAGGACTACATGGTGTCCAACACGCACTGCTGCCAGAGTGACGGCTGCAATCAGGGCTCGGTGCCCCGTAAGTGCCAGCTCACCCCGGCCTCATGAGTCTCTTCCAGCCAGTGTGTGTGCCCTCGCCCACCGCCCATCTGTGCGCTGTAACAATGGGCAAGCACCTTGCTCGAGAGCCTGTTTCTGCTCCTGTAAATGCAGGGTCCATAACCGCTGTTCCTCGGGGTTATTGTGAGATTGGGGGGGAGGGGGGGGAGGGCTTCCTAAACATCTCTCTGTACCTTGTACTCCACCGTCCTCCCAGCTCCCCAGAACAACCGTACTGAGAATGGTCTCCAGTGTCCCGCCTGCATCGTACCCTTCCAGGAGACGTGCCCGGGGACCCAGGCAGCCCGCTGTGTCGGCCAGGAAACCCACTGCATCTACTTCGCTGGCAAAGTGCAGGCTGGTGAGGGGCAGCTGGATCTCGGAAGGAGGGCACAGGGGCCCCAGAACTGGAGGAAGCCCATGCTTCCAGGTTCTAGGGGAGATGGTGGCCCCAGAGAACTGGGTGAGGAGGTGGCAGGACTAAGATTTCTAGGTCGTGAGGAAGGAGCAGTTGGGGGCCCTGACTCCATTCTAAACCCCCCTCCCAGGTATCATCAACACCAGGTTTGCCACTCGAGGCTGTGCCACAGAGAGTGCCTGCAATACCAAGCCTGGCGCTGAGGTGCCCTCAGCCTCCTATCTCTACTTCCTCCGCCGAGCAGACTGCCTTCCAGCTCCCCAGACCCCTGGCAGGGACGAGTGAAGAACTGAGGAAGGGGTGGCTTGAGGTCCCCATCTGTCCTCAGCCTGCAGCCCCCTGTGTGCCTACAATTAAACAGATTAACTGAGCAAGCCTGAGTCTTTATAACATGATGCATCGCAGGGAGGTGTGTTGTGGAGAGAGAGGGGGAAAGCCCACTTTTACTAAGGGGTTACTCCATGCTGAGACCCTGTGCTAAATGTTTTCCATACTGTACTTCATTTCATAACCACAGCAACTCTACCATTGACATTTTCATCCCCATTTTACAGATAAACAAACTGAGGCACAGATTAGGGTGTCATTTACCTTGGGTCAACCCCTAGGGAGGATCAGAGTCATGATCACTTCTGAGTAAGCTTGCCCTCTTTTTGCCTGTTTTCATGTCGGCAAAATGTGGATACTAATAGTTATAACCTCACAGAGTTGTAAGAGTGAAATAAAATAATAATAATAAAAACTAAAAGAGCACTCAGTGCAGTGCCCAGCACCTTTCAGGCAGTGCTGCTTCTAGAGATAATATGCCTGAGTAAGTAGCAATCATCATAATGGCTGCCACTTACTGAATGGCCATTAGTCTGCAGGTGCTAAACATTGTCCTTGATCAGGACAGGCTAGATTATGCTACAGTAACAAAGAAACCCCTAATCTTTTTGGCTTAAAACAACAAAGTGGGATTAGTCAACTCATGTGCAGGCATGCTGTGTAACAAAGCATCTCAAACCAGACATAACGATAAGCATTCTTCTTTCTGGAGGGTTTGTGGGAGGCTGAGGTGGCTCTGCTCCTAGTCATGCTTCAGCTGATTTGGCTCTAGTTTCGGGAGGATTCAAGTTCTCCTCTTTGGGGTTCCACAAACCTCTGGGATTAGTGGCTCCCTGGCAGGTCACAGGAGCACAAAAGCCAAGTGCACTGAACGCGCCTGCTGAGGTCAGGCCTGCTAACATTTCACCGAATAAATCATACGGTCAAAGCCAACCTTCAGGGAGCAGGGATGTATCCTCCCCTCCAGTGGGAGGGAGAGGAATGGTATGTGTTGAACAAGCATCCACTCACAAGAGTTTGATTCTTCCTTCACCTACGTGTTGTGTTTGGCACCACCCATAGGTGTCCTGCTTATCATCCTAAGGCAGCCACCAACTTGAACACTGCCCATCTCTGTGCACAGGGAAGTCTCACATGGGTGGTTAAATGCCGTGACTCAGAAATGACTTGACACAGCTCTTCAGATGGAGCTGGTCACATGGCCCCACCAAACCCTGTGGGGGCCAGGAGTGCAACCCTATCCTTCGACATGGACATGTTTCATAGACAGCAGCAATGGCCACTCTGGCGTCTTAGGGGCACTTTCTCATCTTCACAACTTCATGCGAGAGGCACTATTATTCTCATTCCTGTTTTCAGGAAAAGAATTTGAGGCTCAGAGGGATGTCACATTGGAGTTCGCACAGATAAAAAGTGGCAGAGCTTCAGATTTTATTTAATTGGTCATGTTGAGGGGGTAAAGAGACCACGTCACAGAGAGAAGGAACAAGCCTGTATTAGCTATCGTTTACTGTGTAATAAACCAATCTAAAATTCAGTGGCTTAGAACAATCACCTTTAATTTTGCTCATGGTTTTATGGGTCAGCAATTCGGTCTGGGATCAGTTGGGTGGTTCTTCAGCTGGTCCCTGCTGGGTTCATTTGCCTGTCAGCTAGGCAGCTCTGTTTTGGAGGGTTGTCAGGCTGTGGATTGGGCTGTCAAGGCGGACTGGGCCACATCTCTTTTTTTTCTTTAAATATATTTTTATTGATTTCTTTTACAGAGAGGAAGGGAGAGGGAGAGATGGAAACATCAATGATGAGAATCACAGACAGGCTGCCTTCTGCACACCCCCTACTGGGGATCGAGCCTGCAACCCAGGCATGTGCCCTTGACTGGAATCGAACCCGGGACCCTTCAGTCCACAGGCCGACGCTCTATCCACTGACCAAACCGGCTAGGGCTGGGCCACATCTCTTATGACCCAGCAGATTATCTGAGGTTTCCTGTTGCACTTCCCAAGCCTCTGTTCGCATCATGTTTCCTATTGTCACGTGGCCAGGTTTGGAGTCAGAATGAGAAGGGACTATCCAAGGGCATGGCTACAGAGAGGCTGAACAAATTGGAGGCATTAATGGACCAAACAGGTTCAGTCTAAGATACTTTACTATCACATGCCCCCAAGGTCGAAACAGTCACTGGTCCACCCCAACCCCAGGGAGGCAAAACTCAGATACAGATAGTCCCCCTCTTTAAAAAAAAAAAAAAAAATATATATATATATATATATATATATATATATATATATATTGACTTCAGAGAGGATGTAAAAAGGTGAGAGAGATAGAAACATCAATGATAAGAGAGAATCATTGATTGCTGCCTCCTGCAGGTTCCACACTGGGGACTGAGCCCGCAACCCAGGCATGTGCCCTAACCTGACTGGGAATGGAACTGTGACCTCCTGGTTCATAGGTCGATGGTTAACCACTGAGCCATGCTGGCCGGGCCAGATAGTCTCTTGATTCCAGCCCAAGGGAAGCTTTCCTGTGCAGAACCCCCACTGTCCTTCCCCTTCCAGGATCCAGGAGTCCCCAGCCTTGGCTCCCTCCTCCCTTAGACCCACAAGTCCAGGCTTCCAGATCCAGTTAAAATCCCAAAAGAACAGACACAGAATGGCATTTCTACTCATCTTTATTCACTCCAAAAAGCACCACAGGCCAGCCACACCCTTGATTCACCCTTTCATGGTTCTCTACCCCAATGGACAAGTCCTTCCATCATTATCCAGAAATGTAGGAAACTCAGCTAAGGTGCTGAGATGGGGTGAATGCTCAAGTTCTTTGTGCCCATTCTGTTTTTGGCAGATGGCAACACGGAGATTCATCATACATTTCCTTGAATTCTTGCCTTTGAGGGTCTTCCAGGCTGAAGGTGCCACGTAGACACACCCCCATGGCAGCCAGTGATCTGTCCACAGGGAGACACAGTCTTTTCTGAGTCAACTAGCAACGTTATGTCTCCACGAAGTCTAAAAGTCAAATGCCATCCAAAGTCATGATTTAAAAGGCAACCATTCCAAAAGGTAGTTGTGACACTCGAGAGTACCAATATACAATTATATACAGTAACACAACCAGCACTCACCAACAAGAGAGACACACGCAAACAAAACGGGGTCTTGCTTTCTCAGATATGACCTCTGGCATGATCCCCATTGGCATACGGGCAAAGGGAATCTGGAGCAGAGAGCAGAGATATCAGGACCAAATCAGAGATGGTGTCAACATGGCAGAAAAAGACGGCACTCTGTGAGCAAAAGCAACCAGAATAGAGTCATTTTGATGTTGCCGGGGCTGGGGGCATGTGGGCAAGGGCAACCAGACTACCTCTTGAGCTCCCAGTGTGCCAGGCTTCTCGGGGGGCGGGGGGAGGGGGCTGCAGTATATTGATACGTGGGAGAGAATGCATGTACCTACAGATACACTGAATTCTCACAATAACCCTGTAAGGTAGACACCATTTGCAGAGTGACTTGCCCCGGGTCACCCCCAAAGTCAGCAGGACTGTCTGATCCTAGAGCTGTACTAGTAGAATTGTATTCCCCCCAGACTGAGAGCTTTGACAATGCCTGGAGCCATTCTGTACAGAGCCAAATGCTTTTTCCCATCTCCACCATCTCCACTTGAAAGGGATAAATTGTGCCAGTGGTGGGAGTTCAAGCTGGAGTGGGGGGAGAGGGGGAGAGCCAGCCCTCAAGCATCTGGCCCTCAGATCAGTTAGCCTTGTCTTCAGCTGTCACAGGAAATGGGACCTCAGAAGTTATGGTTGTCATCCAGCACTTTCATTTCACAGATGAGAAAATAAGGCACTGGTCCAAGTCACCCAGGGCGACGGTGGCAAAGCTGTGCTTGCTTCCCAGGTCCCCTGACCTCAGACAGGCACTTTCTCTCCTCATCTCAATCCTTTTCCCTGTCTTGTGGCAAGAGACTGACAATCTACATTCCTAGTCCTAGTTCTGCCACTGACTAATAAATTAAAGTAATAAATATTTACTAAGCACCTATGTGTGTCAAGCACTCTTCTGGGTGCTGTGGGTACAGCATAGAACAAGACAGACAGGGGGATAATAGCTAATAATGGGCAAATAAATAAATAAATATTTTTCTACAGTAATAATTGCTACAAGGAAAATTAACCAGCTGAGATAAGTATTTGAGGGCAGGGGGTGGGGGTGTGTGTGTGTGTGTGAGCTACTTCAGTTAGACTGATCAGGGAAGGTCTCTGAGGGGACATCTGAGCTGAGACCTGATTGACAGAAGGAGCCATTCATGGAAATTTTAGGCAGAATGAACAAGTTCCCAGGTCCTGAGGCAGGGCCCCAGAGGGCCCACTCAAGCATCAGAAGGAAGATCTAGCAAGCTGGTTGGGGGATGGGGTGAGGCAATGAGAAAAGGCAGGGGCTTGCCCTGACCGGTTTGGCTCAGTGGATAGAGCGCTGGCCTGCGGACTAAAAGGTTCCAGGTTCGATTCCGGCCAAGGGCATGTACCTTGGTTGCGGGCACATCCCCAGTCGGAGGTGTGCAGGAGGCAGCTGATCGATGTTTCTCTCTCATCGATGTTTCTAACTCTCTATTCCTCTCCCTTCCTCTCTGTGAAAAATCAATAAAATATATTTTTTAAAAAAAAGAAAAGAAAAGGCAGGGGCCAGGCCACACAGAGCCTCTCTGTGTGCTGTGGGGCCTAGAATCTGCCCTCTCTGAGCTTTGCTCTCCCCGACTCTCACAGAAGTGGTTCTATTGGATGGCCTCTCGGGTCCCCCTTGCTGGTCTCCCCCCCACACACTTGCTGTTTTTGACACTGAAGAATTCTGTGCCCTGTGGCTGCTCCTCTACATGCAGGTACAGCTTAAAACATCCCAGGCATACGGCTCTGCCTTTGCCTCACTTGTGGCCCATCCCCACAGGCTGGAACACCTGCCCACCTGTCCTTTGGGTCCCTTGCTCACTGCGGCACTCTCTGTGTACACCCAGGGAGCCAACACAGGAAGGTCTGGATTAGTGCAGCAGTACAGCGGCTTCTCCACAAAGGCAGGTGTACAAAAGTACCAAGGCCAGGAAGGGTTCAGGTTTAATGACAGCAGAAACCAAGTCCAAAACTAGAAGCCACTAAAGGAGAGGAACAGACTGCCCAGAGAGCTCCCCACTCACCTAGCACCTATGAAACGGGGGCGGTCCCACCCCTTCCCAAAGTCACAGAGAGAGCGGCAGTTTCCAGAACCCAAACCCATCAGGGATTTGCAGGAGAGACCTCTGAGGTAGGGGTTCCTGCCCTTCCGTTGCCAGAAAGCCTCATTCCTGGTGCCTGGCCACCCCCCAGAGCCCGCCAGCCCCTCCCCTCCTCCCCTCACTTTTGTGTGGCCATCCTCCCCACAAATGCTGGGGTCCCCCTTCCCCAGGAGCAAATACTGAACATCTCTCTCCTCCCCACAAGAGACCAGAGGGTTTCTAGCTCTGTCACACAGCCCTGTTCCCTCCTCAGATGCAGACCTCCCACCACCCAGGAATTAGGAACCACGGTCCACAGCCCTCCTGGGAGCCAGGAGTCTGAGCCCCTGAGCCTGCCCTTCCCCCCATGAAGGTTCACAGCCCACTACATCTTTCCCCCTAGAAAGCCAACACCCCATATCCCTTTGCGCCTTAGAAGTCCAAGCGTTCCAGCTCCCTGGAGTACCCAGATCCCTTCCTCCATTCTGGAATCCCCATTACCACCGACAAGTCCCTCACCAGGAATCAGGGCTTCCACACCACCTACCCCTGGAGGACTAGATGTCCAAGACATCCAGTTTCTACTCCCTTCTAGAGTCCAACTGCTCAACTCCCTTCAGGACACACGGCTAGGGGTCCTGCCCCATGATCCCCAGAGAAATCAGGAGTCCTGACTCCCAGATTCGATTCCCCTCCAAGACCTAGGAATCCGGGTGACTAGAAGTCACATATCCCAACCAATAGCCAGTCTCAACCCCCTCAAGCATCCAGGATTCGGATTGGCGACACACTTGCTCTGTTATCTGAGGCCCAGACATCCCAGGCCAGAGCCTGGACCCCTAAACCCCTCCCTCTAAACCGGACTTGGAGCCCTCAGCCCCTGGCCGAGCACCCCGGTGGCCCTGGCCTTCATCCCACCTCTCACTGAGCAGGCGCATGGGGTGCCAGCACTGCCTCCGCATCAGCCAGCATCTCGTCCAGCGCCTGCAGCAGGACGCCATGGGCCGCGCGGTAGCCCAGGCCTCCCGTGGCCGCCGCACCGCCTGCGGGCCACAGGAAGGAGAGCGCCCCCAGCGCGGCTCCCCCTGCAGTGCCCTCGCCGGCCCATGCCCCCAGCCTCGCCTCCACTTCGGCGCGCGTGACTGGCCCGGGGAAGTGCGTCCGCTTGGCCAGCTCCCCGGGAGCCAAACCCAGCGTGCGCTCGCGCCGAGCCAGTGCTGCGGGTTCGAGTCCCAGCGCCCGCCGCCACTCTGCCAGCTGACCGCGCAGAAGGGCCACGTCACAGGCCCAGCCGAGCCCGGGGACTGGTGCTGCCGCCGCCGCCAGGCTGGCCAACAGAGCCGGCCGCCACGCCCCAGCCCGCAGCGCCGCAGCCTTGGTTCGGGCTGCACGCGGGGACGTGGGTGGCAGCGCCAGCAGCAGCGCGCCCGCCTGGGCTGGGGGAAGCGCGCGCTGCAGCCACTCGCAGAGCCCGGGGAGTCCGCCCCTCCGCAAGGGGAACACGGGCGGCAGCGCCTCCTCCAGCACCTCCCACGTCTCGTCCTCGGGGCTCCAGGCTGCCGCGCGCTCAGAGTCCCCACTGCCCGATTGCTTCGCGTTGCCGCCAGCCTGCTGCGAACTCTCACTGCCTGCCTTCTGCGACCCGGCGCCACGTTTGTCCCTTCCCTCGCTGCGTTCCTCCTCCAGCCCCCCTCCGCCTGCGTTCTCTACGCTCTCCCTGCTGGGCTTCTCTGCCTTTTCCTCTTCTTCCGGAGACTCCGGATCCTCGCCCTCACCGTCTATTCGCACACAGACCAACGGGGCATCCGGTAGCACCAAGGGCCGGACCTGGGCCCAGTCCTCCTCAGTGGGGGCTCCAGGGGTGACCAGGATGAGGGCGTCGTAGTGGGTTGGGTGGGGGGCGGCAGCAGTAGTCGCGGAGCCCAGAGGGATGGTCCAGAGCACCACATTGGGGCGCTCCGGGGCAGGGTAGGGTGTGGGCCCAGTGGGCACCGAAGCAGGCACAGCACCTGGGTCCCCGGTGTCCAGCCCAAGCAGCATGTCCAGCACAAAGCCCGTGTCAGCAGTGCCGGCTATGGCCAGGTCCAGCCGGGCGCTACCCAGTCGCTCCAGGCCAGCACGAACCCAGGAGAGCGCTGCCTCCAGGCCACCCCTCTCGAAGGCCTCTCGCACAGCCTCTAGCTCAGCTGCTCCCAGCACCTCGAAGCCATCCTGAGCCGGTGGCAGGAGCCTGTGGGGACAGGAAGGGATAGGATCAAAGGCAGAAGAGGGACTAAAGCCCCAGAGAGCTGGGCTAGGGGACAGGACTGGGCTATGATGACAAATGTGGAACTTTCTGAATAACCTTGAGTGACGAAGGAGCAGGCGAGGGAGGGGGCCAGTTGATGTCCCAGCAAATAGAAACCAGGGCTAAGATGAAAAGGGAGAGGTTTAAAGCAGGGATGGGGTGGCTTGAATGAGCTTAGGTTTCTGACCGGGCTGAAAACCAGACCCAGCTAAGTCTTCCCCGGCATAGAGTCTTTGGGGTGAGGCTTTTCCTAGGGGCCTGCAAGAGTAAGAAAAGGCTGTGCTGGGTGGGGCAACACACTGGGCAGGCAGGGCTTGGAGCAAAGACAGAATCAGCACTGTATTGTGGACTAAATGAAAGTGTAGCTCTATTCACTATTCGAAATGGGCAAGGTCACCAAGAGGGCTCTTTCCTGACACTGGGTGTAAGGACTGGAGGAAAGACCAGGAAGAAATCTCATCGACTAGTTCTTACCAGGGGGATGTGGCTAAGGAAAATAGAGGAGCAGTGGGACTGGAGGAGAGGCTGCCCCTCCCTAAGCCAGAGGCAGCTGGCAGAGAAAATTCAGGAGGACAGCCAGCAAGTGGGCACAAAAATGAGAGGAGAGTAAAGAATGGCCATGGGGGAGGGTACCCAGAAATAATGAAGCTCCCTGAGGGTGTGGCTTTAGGGCAACTGGGGTCACTTGAGAACCATGCAGATAGGGAGGATGAGGAAGATTTGAGACTGCAAGCCTTCAGGTAAAATCTTTGTGAGGATCACTAGCTTGTGTGGAAGAGTGAGCCCTTCTTCACACTTTTGCACGGGGGCAGTGTTTGGGGGATAGGTCCCGGCCTCTTCTAGAATTCCTATTAGGGAGAGGGGCTTGTGACCTCAGAGCACGGGACCTGGATGACAGGTCCTGAGCTCTTGCTGCCCCCCCCCGCCCCCCCCCCCGCTAGGGCGGGGCCTATCTAACAAAAGAGGGTCAAGCAGAGCCGCTTGCTGGATTGGAGCATCGCTGAGGGACGGGGCCTGGGTTCTTGGATTTGGGAGCAGTTTTGCGGTAAGGCTTGCTGCAACTCGCTGAGGGCAGGGTCTGGAAGACTTAAAGAGCACCTCTGGGGCGAGGTCTGCATTAAAAGACCAGGCCTCCCCAACCCACCCTGAAACGCCGGGCTCACCTCTGCAGTGCCTCCGCCTGGCTCCGCAGCGCCGCCCGCAGGCGCTCCAGCTCCTCGCAGCCGTCGCAGTCCGCCTGCAGCACATAGAGAGGCACAGCTCCCAACCCAGCGCCGTCCAGGAGGGCCGCTGTCTGATCGCGGGCCTGGGCTTCATTCTGTGGATCCCCGGGTCGGAGGTTCCGCACAGCCAGCAGCGGGGTTCCTCGGGCCAGTGCGGCCCGCGCTGCCTCCCCCAGCGCTGGGGCCAAGGGCTCGTCGTTCCCCTCCGGGCTGGGCAGCACCAGGACCAACATGTTCGCCTCCGCTGCCCAGGGCCCGGGCGCAGCGGGTGGGCAACTCAGCTCACCCAGGAAGAGGCCTGGGCCCGCAGCCCGCAGGCTGGGGAGTGCGGGGTCTAGCCGCCCATCGGGGATCTCCACCACCTCCACGTCCTTGTTGCACAGCGCGGCAACCAGCGCCGACTTCCCCGCGCCCGGGGGGCCCAGGAACAGGGCGGTGACGTCACCCCGCGGTAGAGGCATAGCTGGAAAGCAAGCGATGGGGAAGCCCGGGGTCAGGGGGCACCCGGCCGTGTTCTTGGCTGTAATCCCACTCTGGCCCTAGACTTCAGTCCTCCACCCTGTCCCTTCTTCCATTCTCGGGGATCACTCGCGGGGACCTAGAAATCCAGCGCCGAGACCCTACTCCCCAGGGACCCGGAGTCGGTCCTCTTGATGGATGCGTTTTCTTTTCTATTTCAAAAACTCAAAAAATCCGGCCTCCAGCCCTCCTCCTCCCGCAGGGACACGTTTATTGTTAATCCCTCACCCCTCCCTTCCCAATTCACCAACCGAGCAAACAGCCGAAGGGTATGGTCGCGCTGTCGCCGGTGGCCGGTCCGCCGCTGAGAAGTCGGGCGGCCCGGGACTGAAGCGGCTGGAGCGCCGGGGTTTGGGGACCTCCGGACGTGTTCGGGGAGCTCTGACCTGACGTCACTCCTTGTAGGAGGCGGTGCCATGGAAGTGCAATCTCAGGGACACAGCCCTCCGCGGCGCCTGCGCAGAATGGCCCCGGGAGCTTGCTCCTCCCTCGCCCCTCCGCGCCGCCGCAGAACCTGGAACAATGAGCAGCCAGGGCGCCTGCGCGCCAGGAGCGCCGGCCACACCTGCGCAGTGGCTCAGGTCCGTGCGGCACGGGTGGCTCGCGGCGTCATCAGGCGGCACCCGGGAGCAGGAAAGGACCCTTGCTGCTATTTTCAGGACCGAGTGGCACGGCTGCATCACTGCCGGATGGCAATCCAGGATCTCGGCCTCGACAGGCTCATCAGGCGAAAGAACGTGGAAACCACGGGGACCCAGAGACTCGGCGGGCCCCACCCGGCTTCCCTGCGGGGGAGGCGCTGTGACGAGCCACTGACAGGCGCAACGAAAGGCAGCCTTTCTGCTGCTTGGAGCAAAGCAGAGGCGGGGGCTGCCCACGTGGGGACGGGCGCGCCGAGGGCGGTGCTCGAGGCTGCGGGGACCCCTAGCTGAAGCGCGCGGAGACGGGGGCTCGGGGTGGAACAAGAGTGTCAGGATGTCGGAGAAGGCTGTCTACCGGGGAGAGGCGGGCTAAAGCGTGGGTACCACCACCTGCCTCAGGAATGTGGAGAGACGGGGACAAGCATGGTGTCAGATCAGGGGTTCCGCGCTCTGAGTTTAGGGAGCTAGTTGCTGTCGGTCTTGGGTCTCACACAGGTGGGATGGCTCTAAGGGGAGCCACAAACCCAGGAGTCGAATCTTTGGGGGGGGGGGGGGTGGTGACGTTTCTCTAGTGAGAGCTCCATCAGGTTAGAGTTCAAGGAGATGATATCTCACGGGGCCCAAGGCTGGCAAGGTCATAGGATTAGTGGGCTCGCAGGCTGGTGACAGATGGGCCGCGTCTTTTGATTTCCTGTTCTGTCATGCGTGCTCCTCTCTTGACCAGAGGGGTCCTAGTCACCATGGAGGACCCGCTTCCCTCGAAGAGACCATGGAGCAGCTGGATTCGCAAAAGAGAGGAGTCCCCCCAGTGCAGGAGGCGACATCCGTGAGTACCGCTGGCCAGAGGGTGGGGTGCAGGAACTGATGCTAAAAGGATTTCTATGGCATTTCAATGGCCAAGGCGCTGTAGGGACTTGCCTGTTGGGGAGCTAGCCCTACCAGGAACTGCCACTCCCCAGCCTTGCCCTTATTAGCTCAGATGTACCCACCCTGCTCTGTCCACACAAGTATGAATGGGATGCAGCTCAGAGGGACACTGTGGCAGACAGAGAGGCTTGGGATGGGAGATGTGACTCGGATACAGCGGAGACGGAGAGGAACCCCAGGCTCCAGTTCCAACTCTGGGCAGACTTGGGGTGCCACTTGGGACGTGGTCTCCCGATCTGTGAAAAAAGTCTGCCATTGCTCACCACAAAGCGGTGTTATGTAGGTTAGCGGCAGAAAAGATGAAAACTGGAGGGTAATGAAGGTAGCCAGTTTGACATAATAGCAACAGCTCCCGCTGAATGCCTACTATGTGCTAGGCCAGTGGTCGGCAAACTCATTAGTCAACAGAGCCAAATATCAACAGTACTTCTTCAAAACAGACTCGCCCAGGCCGGAAACCGACTTCTGCGCACGGGCCACGAAGTTTCGATCGCACTGTACGTGCGCGCCCGCACGTGGTATTTTGTGGAAGAGCCACACTCAAGGGGCCAAAGAGCCGCATGTGGCTCGCGAGCTGCAGTTTGCCTACCACTGTGTTAGGCCATTAGCGCCCGTTATTCCATCCAGTCCTCACAGAGCCTATGAAATTCGTTATTATCACTTTCAGTTGAGGGAACTGAGGCAAAGAGAGGTTAAGTATTTGTACCGGTGACGGCCAGAGTCAGTGCCCTCCAGCCAAAGACCCCCAGGAACACACCTGTAGTCCACAAGTTGGTTTATTGCTCACACACACTGCGGGGGCACCAACTGCTTATAGGATTGGAGCCCGTGGTGGGTGGTTTTGGGGAGGGTTTAAGGAAGAGGGTTTTGCTCTGGATTGGATGGTGCCAGGAATCAGGGCAACTCTGGTTGGCTATCTTAAGAAATCTTACCTAGAAGGCAAGAGGAACAGGCAGGGCACAAGCTGTGACTGGTAAACCAGCAGTCACCACTCATATTACCCCGGACGAGGTATTTGGTCATTTTTGTGGCTTGGACAATATTAATGTTTTGTCTGTGTTCAGATGCAATTATGGCATGATCTTGTCTTTTTTCCCCCACCTAAAACGGGACAAATGCCTTTATTGGTTGCAACGGGAAGCGGAAAAGGAGGGGATATGACCGCTCTGGTTCCTGGGGCAGCTTCACAGACTCTGTGGCCGCCCTCCCATTGTTGGCTTGACTCAGTCAGTGTGGCCTTGTCTGATGATTTTCTGTAAAATAGTTTATGTTCAACAGGACAATGCCAAAGCCTATCATAGTGCCAGGCCAGCTCCTGGCTGCGGGGCTGCCTTTCTCCTAACAGTAATCATTACAAACCACTGTGTAGAGAGTTCTAAGCACTTTGTGTAAATTCATTCATGTGTTGCTTACAACAGCCCTATCAGGTAAATACTGATGGGGGTATGACCCCATTTTCCAGATGAGGAAACTATTGAACCTGCCTGGGAAATGGTAGAACCAGCCCGTCTTCAGAGGCTGTGCTCTGATCACACAGCTGTGTTGGAAGGACAGACTCCTTGGGTTCCAGTCCTAACTCCATTTCATTTCCTAACCTCATGACTGTGCGCAAGTTCCCTAACTTTTCTGAGCCTCAGTCTGCTTATCCATAAAACAGGTCCAATAATAATTTGCCTGGACTGCTGTCTAGCCCTGGCACATAGTAAGCACTGAATGTTCATTGTTGGCATGAAGCTGGGGGTGGGAGAAGTCCTGGAGACTCTTGCTGGCCTCCCACGCCCTCTCCCCACGCCCCTCAGGCCATCTGGGGGCCCTGCAGTGCACCCGCTGCCTCATCACCTTCGCCAATTCCAAGTTCCAGCAGCACCACATGAAGCGGGAGCACCCAGCCGACTTCGTGGCCCAGAAGCTGCAGGGGGCGCTCTTCATCTGCTTCACCTGCGCCTGCTCCTTCCTCTCCTCCAAGGCCCTGAGCGCCCACCAGCGCAGCCACAGTCCTGCTACCAGGCCCTCCCTGACGGTTGCACCCACCATTGCCCAGACCACCTTCCCCTGCCCTGATTGTGGAAAGACCTTTGGGCAGGCTGCTTCTCTGAGGTGGCACCGCCAGGTGCATGAAGCTCGCTTCCCTCCTGGCCCGTTTGCCTGCACTGAATGTGGGCAGGACTTTGCCCAGGAAGCTGGGCTGCATCAACACTACATCTGGCGCGCCCGTGGGGACCTCTGAGTGCAGCTTCAGCCCTCCCCAGGGCAAAGGGGGCTCTGTGGTTGGTGGGACCTACCTTTAATAATGGGATGGGCCCTTGGAGGAGTTTGCTGGAAAGGCAAAGGGCTCCTGATAAATAGAACCCAGAATATGCTCTTTAGAACTTCAGTCCTTGGAGGACAGAAAGGCCTTCGGTGAAATAACACAATCGTGAGATCTTTTGTTAAAAAATATATGTAAGAGGGAAAATTATTTTTATCTCCCTCATTCCCACTTAAGTAGTTTGAAATCACAAGCAACTGTAGATTGTGTAATCATCTTTAATTCTTCCCAAATGGATGCCATGGACCGTAGGAGCAAATTGCCCTGGCTTTGTGCCTGACTGGGGGCCGGGAAGGTGAGTGTTGCTGGCCTGTGAAGCCACCAGATGGGTCCCAGACATGGAGCAGCTCCAGCCTTTGGGGATGGGCAGCAAAGTTATGAGCTGTACTGAGTAATGTGGGGGTGCAGTTCAAATCTGTCTTCTCCCGACCCTCTCCCAGCCTTTCCCACTCGAGGGGCCATGGCATTGGGTGGCTTTGTCCTCCCACCCCAGATAATTTAAATAATTTTATGCACCATTTTGGTCATGGGATATTTTGTATATGTTAGGTGACATGAATAAACTAACAGAAATAGTATCTAAAAACAGAAAAGCTCTACATTAAGATAGCTAAACAAGGAACTCTGGTTTTTCAGCAGAAATCCCCAGAGTACATAAGAAGGGCATGAGGAGGGGGATCTCAGGCCATAGCCCTATGAGGAAACTGGTTTGGAATCAAACAGAGATACCTTCTGTTTCCTGTTGTATTTGGCCAACATTGGGAGATTTCCCATTAAGATCCTATTTTCAGCTCTTGAAAAGCCCATCCTCAGCTGAGTGGCCAATTTAACTCCTTGCATTACCTGCCCTGCCCCTAGACCAGGGGTGGGCAAACTTTTTGACTCGAGGGCCACAATGGGTTCTTAAACTGGACGGGAGGGCCGGAACAAAAGCATGGATGGAGTGTTTGTGTGAACTAATATAAATTCAAAGTAAACATCATTACATAAGAGGGTACGGTCTTTTTGTTTGTTTGTTTTATTCATTTCAAACGGGCTGGATCAGGCCTGCGGGCCGTAGTTTGCCCACGGCTGCCCTAGACACAATGGTTGATGCCCTTTTTACAATAATCATTGACTCATTTAAATTGAGGGATGTTTTTAAAGCCCACAGGTGGGATGGATGTGGTAGTGACTAATAGCTGTCTCCCAATTTTTAGCTAGGCACATGATGGCTACAAAGACCACATTTCCCAGGTTCTCTTGCAGCTAGCAGTGGCCATGTGACTAAGTTCTGGCTAAATTCCTGGGTAGAGTCCTCAAGCTTCAGAAAGGGACATGCCTTTCTTCCACCTTCTGCCTGGAATGTGGACATGGTATCCAGCCATTTTGGACCATGAGAGCAACAGGTGGGATGGCAGAGCAACTTCATGCAGCAGTGCCATCGTATCAGCCCGAGAACACCCACTTCCCTACTGTTATAAGAGAGAAATAAGCCTCTATCTTGTTTAAGCTGCCATTAGCTTGGGTCTCTTGTCACATGCAGCAGAATGTATAGCCTAAGGCAGGTGTCTGCAAACTATGGCCAAATCCAGCTTACCTCCTGATTTTGCAAATAAAGTTTTATTGGAACACAGTCATGCTTGTTCATTTACCTATTGTGTATGGTTGTTTTCACATAGGACAGCAGATTCGAGGAGCTGCAACAGAGATTATAAAGCCTAAAATAGTTACCATACAGTCCATTACAGTAAAAGTCTACCAACCCCTTCTCTAATAGACATACAACCTACTCTGTGGCTGGATGCAGGGTTTCCGCCCTGGAAAATACTACCTGTAACAGGGATGTTTGTGTGTGTAGAATTTGGGGCAGGGCTAGCTAGCCTGTATCTCTTTTTGGGGGGGACTTATGGAGAAACTGGTTTGTAGTCATTTGGACATCAACGTTTTCTAAAATACCAACTTTAACAAGGCCAAACATTTCCTCTGGCATATGGTAAGAGCCCAGGTGTTTCATGCCCCCCACCCCTCTCCAGCAGCCCTACACAAACCTAAGGGTTTAATCCCACATGCTCTCCTGAGACAGCTACCTGCCCAAGTATACCCTTGCCTTCTGTTCTCTCTATACTCTCCAGATGTCATAGGTTCCTAAGACTTTATATAGTGTCACTGGTGATTCCCAAATCTATCTTCAGCTCTAACCGGTTTGGCTCAGTGGATAGAGCATCAGCCTGCGGACTCAAGGGTTCCGGGTTCGATTCCGGTCAAGGGCATGTACCTTGGTTGCGGGCACATCCCCAGTGGGGAGTGTGCAGGAGACAGCTGATCGATATTTCTCTCTCATCGATGTTTCTAACTCTCTATCCCTCTCCCTTCCTCTCTGTAAAAAATCAATAAAATATATTAAAAAAAAAAATCTATCTTCAGCCCAAACCGCAGGCTTCTCTCCATGAGATACAGCCACCTGGACGACAAATGGGAGTTGCACACTTACAGTGGGTCCCCTGCAGTCCCCTACCTCCACCATAACTGCCATTGTATTAGTAAACCCTGCACTCTGCTTCTAAATTCCTGCAGAATCTGATTACTTTCCCCCAGCCCTACTCTCCTAACAGATACCCTTTCCATGACTCCCCCCTTCCAGTCTCTATTACAGACCACTCCTGTGCATGTTAATCAGATTATGCCACTTCTCATTAAAACCTCCAAAGGCACCCCATAAGTGACTTACAAAGACCTTCCCCAGGCCCACAGAACCCAACAATAACAGCCCCAGCCCACTAAGCAATCTCAGCTCCCTCGCTCTGTCCTCTTCACTTCTCTCCAGCCACACAAGCCAGGCTGACTTCTGCCTCTGGGCCTTTGCACTTGCTGTTCCCTCTGCCTGGAGTGCTCTTACCCAGAACTTTGCAAAGCCACCTCCTCATTATTCAGGTCTCAACATGTGCCACCTCCTCAGAGAGGTCTTCCTTGACCTGACTGGCTAAAGTAGCACTTCCAACCCTTACCTTGAATTAATTTCTTCCCACCGCTTTTCAACACCTGAAATTATCACACTTGTTTATTTCATTATCTGTGTCCTTGTATTGGAACCCAAGCTCCTGAGAGCAACTGCTTCATCCCTACACTTAGGACAATGCTTACCAAAGAGAATTAAAAAATACTTGACTATGTTAGCCTAGTGTCTCCTGGCCTGCAGCCTGCCTTAGAGAGCTGGCCTCCTTAAGTTCTGCCATGAGAGATATGGGCAGAAGGAAGGTAGGAAGAAGGGGAAAGGACTTGCTTTGGACTCTTGCTGGGACCCCTCCAGCAGCAGCTCAGGCTCCAGTACGTGTCTTTACGCACACAAGGCGCTGTGCCCCTCTTGAGGTTTAAGCACTAGCACATGGCACCTGTCAGTGGTCCCTGTACCAGCCGCACGTGGCCTGCCCTTCAAGCACCTATTGGGTTCTGGTCATCTCACTGCTCTTTCCGTATCCCAGTCCCAGAGGTGGGAGCTTCTTGCAAACACATTCCTGGGTTATCTCAGTTTTTCACTTCCAGCCTTGTAACACCTGTGTGACCGATTCCCTGTATTAAATCCTCTTTTGAATTCCTAGCTTGGTTTCATACTCTGGCTGGGCCCCTAGGAACAGAATGAGCCCACTGGCAGCAGACTGGGTCTCTTGATTCTCAGGCTCTCCTGATTCTTAGGAATTTTTGCTGACAAATGGGTCATTCTCTACATCTATGCTTAGAAAGCAAGCCCTGTCTTAGGGCAGAGGAGGGCTTACACATGGCTGTCCCAGGAAATAAAAATCCATCCATGCTGTTTTGATGAGCTGTGCATTTCATCTTGATGATTCTGAGGTCCAATAATATTAAGCTAGAGTAGATATGAAAATTTCAGTGGATAAATGTCAGGTTCTGAGACTTGGAGCTTGTAGTATGAAAAGTATGAGTTTTGAAAGATGTTTTGGTCGCCCTGGCCAGTGTGGTTCAGTCAGTTGGAGCATTGTTATGTACACCAAAGGTAGCAGGTTTGATTCCGTCGGGGCACATACCCAGGTTACAGATTAGATCCCCAGTTGGGGCACGTGGGAGAGGTAACCAACCATTGTTTCTCACATTGATGTCTCTGTCTCTCTCTCCCGCCCCTCCTCTCTCTAAAAACTTGCCGGGAGCCGGTCCATGCTTGCTGTTTCAAGGGACCTGGCATATATGGCATACTGTTCTTAATATGTTTGCTCACCTTCTTGGCACTATGTGTTTTAACCAAGGTCTCTGAGAAAGGTTGTTTCCCCAGGTAGGGATTTTCCCCTGAAGTTAGGGAGGGAATAAAACCTCTTAACTAGAGCCAGGCAGGTAATTAATCACTTTAACTACGAACAATCATGCTTAAGCTACATAATCTTTACTCCCTGGAATGGAGATAAGAAACGCCCTAGCCTTTGTAATAGAGATTGATAGGATTGAATCAACTGGTATAAATACAGATGTAATAAGACAGCAAGACACAGAACTTAGAATACGGAACCAAGAGAGACGGAACCTAGGCACAGAACCTACACAGAACGTTCTCTAGAGACAGAAGAACTTCGCTGGAGAGAACATGGCAAAAGATACTGGACAGAAACTGGCCTCAGAACCTAGAGACAGAACCTAGCGAGAGAACATGGCAAAAGATCCTGGACTGAACCTGACTACAGAAATTGGCAAGGGAACCTGACTAGAACCTCGTGACTGAACCCGGCTGGAGAAACTGGCTACTGAACCTGCCTGGAGAACCTAGCGAGGGAACATGGCTACAGAACCTGGCTGGAGAACCTGGACAGAACCTGGCTGGAGATCCGAACCAGAACTTCGCTGGAGATCCAGACCAGAACTTGGCTAGAGAAACTGACTGGGCTGCTGATCAACTGAACGGCTGTCTCCGTGTCATTCCTTCTTCGCCGACTCCGTCCACACCTTTGGGGACCCCTGGACCTGCTGGGGTTGGACCCCGGCAAAAACTAAACTTAAAAAAAAGGTGAAAGATGCTTTGGTCTAACATCCTGTAACAGGCATCAAAAGCAGATGTTCTTGGGGCCAAGCAGGTAACATAAATCAATGAAGCAAGCATGTATGAGGGGTCCAGAGATCAGGCGATGGGCACTGGGCACATGGCAGGGAATGCCCACGGTAATAGGAGGTGACCTTACTCATCTCCATCAGATTACTGCCCCATGGGACTGTGGGTTCAGCAATCGAGATCTCTCAGTTTTTCAAGAGAAGCCAGAAACCTCCATTTCTATATGAAACCTGCCTGGAGGACATTTTCTTTTGATTTTTAGAGAGAGGGGAAGTGAGAGGGAGAGAAACATCGATTGGTTGCCTCCCACATGTGCCCTGAACGGGAATCAAATCCTCGACCTTGGCAGGACGACACGCCTACCAACTGAGCCACAGCGGCCAGAGCAAATCAGACATTAAAAAAAATTTTTTTTTTATTGATTTCAGAGAGGAAGAGAGGGAGAGAGACAGAAACATCAATAATAAGAGAGTCACTGATCGGCTGCCTCCTGCATGCCCCCTACTGGGGATTAAGCCTGCAATCCTGGCAAATCCAACAGTGACCTCCTGGATCATGGGTCCACTGAGCCACACGAGCTGGGCTGCCATTTTTAAATGTTGGTAACCAACGTGATTGAAAAACCTCAATAATTTTGTGGAGATTAAACACACTCCTGCAAGTCAGAAGGTGGCTGGGGACAGCCAGACTTCCATTTCTGGTGGCTTCATGGCTAAGAATATGTGCCCTGCATTCAGTTGTCTGGAATCAAGCCTGGGATCTGCTAGTTACTGGTGGATAACTCAATGTCTCTGTGCCCCAGGTGTAGCAGCTGTAAAATGATCACGATAGCAGACCCTGTGCCTCCAAAGATTATGATGATGATTCAGACTGAGAGAGAAAGCCAAAGTTAGTATAGTGGTCTGCCTTCCTCAGTAACAGCCTCTTGATCCCGTGCGCTCTACCACAAACATCCCAAGCAGGCTCTCACCTCAGGGCCTTTGCACCTGCTGTTCCTGCAGAGAGCCACAAACTCACTCCTTCCCCTCCTCTAGATCTCTGCTCTGTCACCTTCTCCATGAAGCCTTCCTGGACCACTCCACTTGGAACTGCTTCACACACACACAACCCTCATATCCCCTTTCCCTCCACAGCACTTTCTACCTTCTAACAGTACATTCTATATAATAAAAGGATAATATGCAAATTGACCCTAACAGTGGAACAACCGGGGAACAACCGGTCGCTATGATGCGCACTGATCACCAGGGAGCAGACAGCTCAGTGTAGGAGCTGCCCTCTGGTAGTCAGTGCACTCCCATAGGGGGCGCTCCGCTCAACCACAAGCCGGGCTGATGGCAGCAGCACTAAGGATGTCCGATTGCGGCTTAGGCCTGCCCACTCCCCACAGGGAGTGGACCTAAGCCGTCAGTAGAACATCCCCCAGGGGCTCCCAGGCTGCCAAACGGATGTCTGACTGCCAGCTTAGGTCTGATCCTCTGGGGATCAGGCCAGGCTGACGGACCTTCCTCCCCCCACCCACCCCCCCCGCCACCCCAGTGCACAAGTTTTCGTGCACTGGGCCTCTAGTGTATTTTATATTTTGCTTAAATATCTAAAGTGTCTGTCTGTCTTTCCCAGTATAACTTCCACAAAGGCAATGCTTTTTGTTCATCAAGTTCAGCATTCTATTCCCAGCTCCCAAAATAGTGCCTGCATCTCATAAGTGCTCAATAAGTCATTGTTGAATGAATAAGTAAATAACAGTCCCACCCTGGCCGGTTTGGCTCAGTGGATAGAGCGCCGGCCTGTGGACTGAAGGGTCCCAGGTTCGATTCCGGTCAAGGGCACATGCCCAGGTTGCAGGCTCAATTCCCAGTGGGAGGGCATGAAGGAGGTAGTTGATCAATGATTATCTCTCATCACTGATGTTTCTCTCCCTCTCTGAAATCAATAAAAACATATAATAAATAAATAAATAACAGTCCCTACCTTCGTGCTTAGCCCAGGGCCACCTGGTCCAGTATGAGCGATGACTTAATGATGGTCATTGTGGAAATTCAGGTTCTATTCTTGAAGATTCTTAGTTGCCAAGCTTCTGAGTTAACACAAGTAAAGCGCCTTAGAACAGGATTGGCACACAATAAATGCTCAGTAAATCGTACCTATCATTATAATTAGGCTTCTATTTTCAGAGCGGCTTTGGTGCCAAGCTTCTGTGAATTAGTACTTCCCATCTCGGAGCAAAAGCCAAAGTTTGGACAAAGTTGTAAGGAGTTGGCCCCCTGCTCCCTTCCAGCTCTGCCCTCCTTCCTTCTTCTCTAGCGCCTCTGGTCTTCCTGATTCTGGCAGACTCCTGCCTCTTTCTACACGGAATGATCTTCCTACCGATGTGCATGGCTCCTCCTCTCCCTCCCTCCTTCAGGTCTGTCACCTCCTCAGGGAAGATTACACTATTTAAAATTGCAACCCCCACTGGGCAGGTGTGGCTCAGTGGTTGAGTGTCTACTTATGAACCAGGTCACAGTTTAATTCCTGGTCAGGGCACCTGGGTTGCAGGCTCAATCCTCAGTAGGGGGAGTACAGGAGGCAGTCAATGGATGGTTCTTTCATCATTGATGTTTCTCCCCCTTCCTCTCTGAAATTAATCCTATATAATAAAAGCCTAATATGCAAATCGACCAACGGTGGAATGACTGGTCACTATGGCACACACTGACCACCAGGAGGCAGATGCTCAATGCAGGAGCTACCCCCAGCCCGCAAGCCCCAGGCAAGCTAAGGTGGGTGCCAACAGGGCCCCCCCCCCCGTAATCGCCCCACAGAGGAAGGCAACCAGTAGCGGTGGTGGGGGGTGGGGAGGGCTGGTGAGTGGGCGGCACCAGGGCTGCCAAGGCAGGTGCCAGCGGGGACCCCCCCCAACCACCCTGCTGGTTGCCCCACAAATCGGCCCTGATCACTGGCCAGGCCTAGGGACCTTACCCACATAACTTTGTGCACTTGGCCTCTAGTAAAAACATATTTTAAAAAACTGCAACCCCCTTCCAGAACTCCCTTCTTTGCCTTTTCTCCACAGCAGCCACCATCTGCTACATCTTGTTCACTGTCTATCCCCACCATTGGCCCCTTTCTGCCCCCATAGAAGCCACGAGGACAAGGATTTCATTTGCTTATTCCCAATGCTTAATACACAGGTCCTCAAATGATGCTTGTGAAAGGAATTAATGAATCACAGTCCCTACCTTGGAGTTATTCTAAGGACCTGATGATCTCATGTCTGTAAGTGCTGGGAAAATGGCAATTGATTATAATTAAGTTTCTATTTTTGTAAGTTCCTAGATACACAGCATATATAAAGCTCTTGGGCTAGCACGTGGCACCCAGGAAACTATGATTATAATGGAAGTCCTCTTTGTGTAGGTTGTTAGGTGACGTGACAGAGAACATGAGCTGTCCTCCACAAACCGTTTCCTGCTTTCTGGGCACTTGGCTGGGCCGCCTTTCCTGGACTCCCTTGCAGGGAGCTGTGGCCATGTGGCGTAAATGCAAGCAGTACAGGCCACTTCTGGGCTTGGCTAGGGCTTGTAAAAGAACACATACCTTTCCAAGTCAAGACCAAATGGATGACAACAGACTTTAAGAGATGGTCTGGCCCTGGCCGGTTTGACTCAGTGGATAGAGCGTCAGTCTGTGGACTGAAGGGTCCCGGGTTTGATTCTGGCCAAGGGCACATGCCCAGGTTGCAGGCTCAATCCCCAGTAGGGGCGTGCAGGAGGCAGCCAATCAATGGTCTCTCTCATCATTGATGTTTCTCTCTCTCTCTCTTTCTCTCCCTTCCTTTCTGAAAGATAATAAAAATATATTTTAAAAAATAAAAATAAAATAAAAGGAGATAGTCTGGGTCCCCAAATTACTAGATGAAGATGGATGCTTGCCAACCTGAAATACCTACCCTGGGCTATTGTGTGAACAAGAAACAAAATTCTGTTGTGTTTGAGCCTGTATATCATGGCTTCTATGAGTAAATACATGGAAACCACACTGAACACATAGTGTTTCGTAAATGTTAATCTAGGCAACAACAAACCTGAAGTTCCCTCAACAAGGAGCCCGGGGGATGAGGGGCAGACAGATGCCCAGGCGAATGCCTCATATGCTTGAGTGTAAAAACACGCACGCACACACACATACATACGCACACACACATATACACACAAACACCAAACACACGCTGGACCGACACACAGAATTTGGCTTTTATTCTGGCCTCACACATACAGCTAAGACGACACAGATAGGCAGTACTCCATCCCCTAGGGACCATTTCACCCACCCAATCTCTTCAGCCCCCCTCCTCCCACCTCACCCTTCCTGCCAAGCTTCTGGGCAGGGGCTCTGCCTACACCTCACCCCGGGCATGCAGCATGAAGTGCCCATGCAGCTCCCCGAGGCTGTCGAAGGAGTCCTCGCACTCCGTGCAGTGGTAGGTGCCCTCCTCGTCCTCGTCTGGCTCCTCCTCCCGCCCGGCGGGCTGGCCCTGGCCCTCCCCAGCCCGCGGTGGCTCTGGCTCGCCCTCGCCAAGCACCCGGCCTTCGGGGGCTGGTGCTTCCTGGGGGGCTGCAGTAGGACAGCAGAGCCGGCAAGGTGGAGTGCCCGGTGGGGCCTCCCCGAGGGATGAGCGGCCACAGAGCTGGCAGGGCTGGGCTGGGGGGTCCGGGGGCTGGGCTGCACGGGGAGCCCGGCGGGATGGGCCACCCCGGCCCCCACCCAGGCGCTGCTTCACTTTGTAGCCAGGGTCATATTCGGGGTCATCAGTGGTCTCCTCTTCCTCCTCCTCCTCATCTTCTTCCTCTTCAGAGTCCGGCTCTGAGTGTGTGTATTCGGAGTTAGAGGAATGCTCAGGCCCTGATGGGGGACGGGTGGGGAAAGACAGTGGCATCAGAGGACAGAGGGCTGTGCCTGCGTGGCTGTCCCCTCCCTGAGCCCCATTTAGTTAGGCTCAACAACAGATGGGGAGGGTGGCCGGGGCACAATCCTGCCCTTCCCCACAGATGGCTGCCCATTGCAAAGAACAGGGCCTGGCACACAGTAGGTGCTCAGTGTCTGTGTGTCCATCAAATCACTGTCTTATAAGAATTGTATCTTAGCCCTGACCAGTTTGGCTCAGTGGCTAGAGTGTCGGCCTGTGGACTGAAGAGTCCCAGGTTCGATTCCGGTCAAAGGCATGTACCTTGGTTGTGGGCACATCCCCAGTAGGGGATGTGCAGGAGGCAGCTGATGGATGTTTCTCTCTCATGGATGTTTCTAACTCTCTATCCTCTCCCTTCCTCTCTGTAAAAAATCAATAAAATATATATATTTTTTAAAAAGAATTGTATCTTAGGGGGTTAATAGGGACAAAATAGGAGTAAAAGTAGGAATAACAGCAGCAGCAGCAGTGTCCATCGCTTTTGGAAGAGTCCTAGCCTCATGCAGTAACTCACCTAATCCTTACAGCAACCCTGTGAGGGAGGCACTATTATTATTCCTAAGTGACAAATGGGGAAACTGAGGAACAGAGCAGTTAGGCCTCTAGTCATACAGTTCTAACAGGGAAAGCTAAATATGGGTGACTGCCTATGCTGGATCATTTTAGGGAGACAAACATTTGAACAGATATTTAAGCAAATTAAAATACACAATATATATGTGGTTTTACATACAGTCATGTGCTGCTTCATGAAAGGGCTGTGTTCTAAGAGATGCATCTTTTGGCAATTTTGTTGTTGTGTGAACATTACCAAGTGCACTTACTCAAATCTAGACTGTCTAGCCTACTATAAACCTAGGGTATTGCTCTGTGGGGAGGAAAAATAATTTCCCTCTGCCCTTCTGGGCTGTTGGCTGAGACATCCCTGTAATAAAGACAGACTCACAGGAGAAAAAAAGTCTAGTAACCTGTATACCCCCTGTATACATGGAAGACTCAGGAAAACTGAGTAACTCACCAAAATGGCTAAAGCCACCACCTTAAATACCTTCCTCAGTTGAAGACAAAATGTTGGGGTGGGAGGAGTCAGCTATGGCAGATTACCAGAAATAGTGGTAAATAAGGGTAAGGTTGTTATGCAGATTTAAGTCCTAGTCTTCCCATAAAGATGAAAGTTTCTAGAGATAAGGCCATCTCCCTTCCAGGTACTTGAAGGAGACACCCTTACAAATGTAAATACCTTTTATGAAGGGTAACTTCTACTTGGTTTTCAGAGCTGGGGGGGGAGGGGGGGGGCAGGGGCGGGCAGGCCGCGGAATTGAAAATAATCCTTATGCTAAATAGACCTACAGTTGACCCTTGAATGCCCAAGGTTTGGGCTAAGGGGGTCAACTGAACAATCCTCTTTAGGAATGAGCCTGAGAAGTTCAAACCTGTGTTGTTTAAGGGTTAACTGTATTTGGGGGTGACAAATTATGTTCGCCTATAGTTCCTGGGCTACACACCTATATAGCATGTTACTGTACTGAATATGTACTGAATACTGTAGGCAACTGGAACAAAGGTGTATTCGGGTAATGTGTTGCGCTATACCATTCAGATGGCTATGATTTCACTAGACAATGGGAAATTTTCAGCTCCATTAAAATCTATGCAACCACCATGGTATATGTATTCAGTTGGCCAGAATGTCATTACAGGGCACATAACTATATTACTGTGATTTCATGCATATGAAGGACATGCCTAGAACAAGTTTAGGTTAAAAAAAAAAAAAAAAAGGAAAAAAATGTAAAGTCCATGCACAGAAAAGGGTGACACGAGCAGCTGTTGTGAGGGGTGCACACACAAGCCATGGTCCAGGAGGGAGGAGTCCCCTCTTTGGTGGCAGTGTAGACAATACTGGCTTCTGTAGGGGCAGTGGCAGGACCTGCACAAAGTATCTCCTAGGACTGCAACAGCCTTGCCCTGCGTTCATGCTGGCCCCTCCTCAGTTTTCGCTGGTAGCCCAGAGGGATCCTATTACAACTAAGCAGCCACACCCCAGGCATGCACGGGCCCCAGGGCCTTGCCAGCCTTTCTGGAGATGGACTCAGGCTTGCTGCTGCCCTTCTGCCACATTTCTGTTCCAGCGTCACCTTCTCAGTGACACCCTGACCATTCTGTCTAACCAGCAATCCCTATGCCCCTGCTTTATTCTTCTCAACTCATTTCATACAGCATCTGGTTGTGTGTTTATTGCTTGTCCCCCAAAGACAGAGCCTTTGTCTGGTTCATTGCTTGAGTGGCCCCACGGCCCTGATCTCCCTCCCTCCTCCAGGCCTTTGCCCCTGTTCTCCCAAATGGGGCCACCTTTTCCATTTCTAGCAGCAAACTCCTGCTCCTCTGTAAGGTTCCAGCTCACACGTCACATCCTCTGTGAGGTCCTCCCTGACTCCCCAGGCAGTCAGTGTCGAGTTCTGGACCCCTCTAACACAATCTGACCACCTACGCGTAACTATCTGGATCTGGAGACTGGAGACTCCTGGAAGGCAGGACATTCTGAGCCTCAGTCAGCCTTAGGAGACATTTGCTGAATGTCTTGGGATAGGGCCCCACCCCTCTTTATCCTCCCACCTCTGACTTCACACCACCTACCCTCCAAGATCTTCAATGCCCATTATGACTTCATGCGGTTGTGAAGTTTCTTTCTGTGAAAGAAAACCAGGTGGTTGTCCAGGGCTTTCATGTCCTCTATGACTTCCAGGACCACAAGCCCTTTTGCGCCCACCATGCCTTCTCCATCTACGAGATCCTCAAAGCCTAGCATGTCTATGGCATCCACTGGTACCTCGATGCCCACAGCGTCTCCCAAGTCTCCTCCCTCCTTGAAGACCACTACATCAGCAATGCCCACCAAGCCATCAACAGCCCCCAACTCAGTCACGAGCCCCAGCAGTTCCAAGTCCACCAAATGGGAAAATACAACAAAGACAGCCCCTTCTACCCAGCCCAGCAGCAGGTCCAGAGTTCGCAGCAGGGTGAGAACATCCAGCAAGGCCAGCACTGACACCAAGGCCAGCAAAACCAACAAGGCTGGCAGAGTCAGACGACACCACCGGAAGGGCACACACAGCCGGGGCAGAACTCCTGGCAGAAGGGGAAGACACAACTCCGGGAGGTCACCCAGCAGGGCCAGCACTCTCAGCAGGATGAGAACTCAGGGTGCCAAACGAGGCACGCCCAGCAAGGTAAGAACCATTTCCCAGCAAAAACAGAGTGGGAAGAGTTATAGCCGGACTAGAAATATGAGCAGAAAGAAGAGCTATAGCCCACCAGCGACCTCGGACATGGGGAAGAGTTCTAGGCTGGCTGTAACCCCCAGTAGGGCAAAGAGTTACAGCCCCACCAGAACTCCCTTCACGGAGATAGGTTACAGCCCATCTCCATCATCATTCAGGAGGGTGAAGAGTTATAGTCAGATGTTCACCCCAAGCAGGGAACGGAGTTACAACCCAAATGAAATGTTCAGCATGACCAAGAGTTACAACCAGGATAGTGTATCCAGCAGGACCCGAAGTCGCAGCCAGTCTAGCACCTCTAGCAGGAGCCGAAGTCATAGCCGGTCTAGAACACCCAGACAGGCAAGAAGTCGCAGTCGGAAGAGGACCCACAGCAGGGTGAGAAGTCAGAGCTGGCAGAGAAATCATAGTATGGCAAGAAGTCGTAACCGGAAGGAAACTCCCAGCCAGACAAGAAGACACAGCCAGTCTAGAACCCACAGCAAGGGAAAAAGTCAATACCAATTTAGGACCCTCGGAAGGGAAAGAAGTCACAGCCCGTCTAGAAGCCCCAGCAAGGGAAAAAGTCAATACCAGTTTAGGACCCTCGGAAGGGAAAGAAGTCACAGCCAGGCTAGAAGCCCCAGCAAGGAGAGAGAGAACAGAAGATCCAGGAGCCCCAGCAAGGAGAAAGGTCGCAGAAGATCTAGAAGCCTCAGCAAGGACAGAGGTCACAGACGATCTAGAAGCTCCAGTAAGGAAAGAGATCACAGCAGATCTAGAAACTCCAGCAAGGAAAGAGGTCACAGACGACCTAGAAGCTCCAGCAAGGAAAGAGATCACAGTCGAACTAGAACCCCCAGAAAAGAGAGACGTCACAACCGACCTAGAAGCTCCAGCAAAGAAAGAGATCACAGCAGATCTAGAAGCTCCAGCAAGGAAAGAGGTCACAGCAGATCTAGAAGCTCCAGCAAAGAAAGAGATCACAGCAGATCTAGAAGCTCCAGCAAAGAAAGAGGTCACAGACGACCTAGAAGCTCCAGCAAGGAAAGAGATCACAGCCGAACTAGAACCCTCAGAAAAGTGAGACATCACAGTCGATCTAGAGACTCCAGCAAAGAAAGAGATCACAGCAGATCTAGAAGCTCCAGCAAGGAAAGAGGTCACAGACGACCTAGAAGCTCCAGCAAAGAAAGAAATCACAGCCAAACTAGAACCCCTAGAAGAGAGAGACATCACACCCAATCTAAAACCCCCAGGAAGGAGAGGGGCCGCAGTCGATCTAGAACCCCCAGGAAGGAGAGTGGTCACAGAGCTGGAACCTCCAGCAAGAGAGAGCACAGCCGGTCTCGAACCCCCAGGAAGGAGAGCAATCACAGGCGGTCCAGAGCCCCCAGAAGTCCCAGCTGGAAGGGATCCCCTAGCAGGGTACAAAGTCCCAGTAAGAAGAGAACGCCTGGCGTGGCAAGGAGCCATTCCCCGTCAAGATTTCGCAGCAGAGCCTCAATCCCAAACCAGGATGACACTCAAGCCAACACCCTCTTTAAAGCCACCTCACCTGGAGAGAGGTCCTCATCGTCTTCTTCCAAGCTGGCATAGCCTCCGGTTTCAGCTGGCTCACGAGTCTCTGTCATGGCCGGAGGAGGAGACAGGAGCAGAGCAGAAGCTAGGCAGCGTCTCTCCCCGGCCAGCTCTCCACAGCTACACCTTGGCCACAAGTTCTCTAATGCAGGATGTCAGCCGGTAGAGGGATGCTGGAGGGGGAAAGGAAAGGCCTGTGGTAACTGAATAAATTTTTACATAGCATCTGCCTCCCCAGGCTTAGCTGTGTGCTCAGTGATGGGGGTAAGGCAGAGATGGCCCCAGCTCTGTCCCTGACTGCCCACTGGGCCTTGGCTGCAGGCCCTGGGCCTGTGGAGACTTTAATTCCCCCATCTGGGCAACCAAGATGTCTGTGGTTCTTATTCAATGGGGTGGGGAAAGATAACATTCCAAATATTTAAAAGTGGATACTAGCTCGGGCACGATTCAGAACTGAGATTGGAACATGGTCCTATGCTAGACATTAATCAGTTAGTTGCTGGACTGTGGGAAAGTCTGGGGTTGGGGGAGAATTCAATATGGCGGTAGGGGTATGGATTCCTGGTGTAGTGGTGATATACCAACCAATCTAGAAGTATTTAAATATTTAAACAACTGGTACGTCTGTGCTAGTCTGTGAATATCAGCCCTAGTTCTATATCAATTTATACCTCGGCAAGATAGTATCTAGGTTTGAATCCTAAATCTGCCATATTTTAACTGTAGCTTCAAGCAAAGACCTTACGTTTTCTAGCTTGTTTCCTTCTGGATACAAAAAGGGCTTCCAGCCCTAGGTGGTTTGGCTCAGTAGACAGAGCGTTGGCCTGCGGACTGGAGGGTCCTGGGTTTGATTCCGATCAAGGGCACATACCTTAGTTGCAGGCTCAATCCCTGGCCCTGGTCAGCGCACACGTGGGAGGCAACCAATCGAGGTGTCTCTCTCACATTGATGTTTCTCCTGTCTCCCCTTCCACTCTAAAAAGTCAATGGAAAAGTATTTTCAAGTGACGAATTAAAAAAAAAAGGGGGGGGCGCTTCCAGGACTTAACTCATGTCCTCCTCTCAAGCATGTTGAAACAGATTCTCTCCTTTCTCCAGATGAAGGCTGGGAGAGGACTAACAAGTAGTCCAAGGTCACACCAACTGGCAGGTACACGAGCTAGGATTTTGAAGCCATCTCCTCCTACCTCTCGTAAAATGATCCTTCGGCTGAAAATATTTTTCGGAGATTCAGTGGGTTCATTCATATAAATTGCTCGTAGGTGTCAAGTACTCATTAACAGTAGCTGTTACTCCTCCCACTCCCGACTCTATAAACCTCAGCCATTCCAGACTTCTCCTCTCCCTGTGAATGCCAGGACTTCTCACATCTGTGGGTCGTAGTAAATCCTGCTGTCCTTGTCTAAAATGTCCTCCTTCGCCCTTGTCAACCTGGAGAACTCCTACTCACCCTCCCACGCTCACCTCAAACACAGAACCTCTGTACTTCTTCCCAGCTCAAATTCTACCTCTGCCTCTACCAAGAAGACTTCTCTGAACTCCTGTGCTTCCTCTCCCTCTTCACCAATCCGCCCCCCCCCCCAACCCCCCAACACCACTTCTTTGTCTCCCACCGCACTTCCTAACAGGGAGAGCAAGTTAGTGAAGGTGCTGGCAACATCAGCTGCACTTCTTATATGCCAAGGCCTGTGCTGGGCAGTAGGGATACAATGGAGCCTGGAAGCCAAGTTTAATGCTGGGGACTAAAGAGAAAAGGATTAGAATTAGTCTAAAGGAGGCTGGGGCAGGAGAGCTTTCTAAAGACACCTAGATATGGGCTTTAAGGACAGAGAAGATTCACAACTGCAGAGGACAGTTCTCATAATACCCTATTGCCTGTAGGGCTTCATTTAATTTGGGAATTCTACTTTATGTCAGGATAAGGTTACCAGACTTAGTCACTAAAAACAGATGAACCCTGGCCGGTGCTCAGTGGTTAGGGTCTGCCCGTGCAGAGGTTTGATCCCCAGTCCTAGTCGGGGCGCCTGCAGGAAACAACCAATCACTGTCTCTCTCTCACGTGGATTTTTTATCTATCTTCTCTCCCTCCATCCCGAACACCCGCTCTAAAAATCAATGGAATATCCTCGGTGAGGATTAACCATAAAAAACCAGACGACACCCAATGAATTTGAATTTCAGATAAACAACTAATTACTTACTATACATAGGAGGGTCCATGTAATATTTGGGACGTACATTTGTTTATCTGAAATCAAGTATTTCAACTGGCAGTCCTACCCCAGGAACACTCAGAACTTCCTATGAGGTTACCAGGGGACACTGCTCCCCGGTCTAACCTACCCTTCCCCTCCACACCACACAAAGCCCCTTCCCGGGCACTCAGAGGACGGGCGGAGGCTTTCCGTGCTGCACAAGCCCCATTCCTCAACGGCTGTGACGGCTGGACTGGCCCCCATGACTTTAGAGGGGCATGAATGAGGCTACCACACACGATGTCCTGAGCCTAGACGAGCAATCAACTCCCAAGATTCCCTGCGTGAACATAATAGGCACCCCTGCCCACCAGGCTGGGGGAAGGAGCCAGAGCAAAACCTTTTACGGCACAATAAGGACCAGTTCCCATAATGCCCTGCGGCAACTCCCCCCAGGATGCCTCAGGCCTGCAGTGACCACCTTGCAAGGAGCGTCAAAGCACTCCTCGTTCCCGAGATGCTCATGGGGGGCGTGCGTGTAACAAAGGGGACCGGTTCCCCGCAAGAACTAGGGTAATTCTTCCCAGGACGCACCAGGCCTATAACGACTAGCGGGCCGACTCCCACACGTTTAGGGCGGGGCGTCCCTTTTTTTCACGTTGCGCCAGGGCGGCATGGAGCCGCTCAGGTCTTGTCCTCAGGCCATCACCGCCCAAGACCGCTGCCGGCTCCTCCGTGACTGAAGCCGTCACTCCCATCATGCAGCAGTGCCGCAGCGCCCGCTTCCCAGCATGCCCCGCGCACCTCGATCCCGGACACTCACCGGCTAGGGCGGCCTCCGCTCGGGCTCGGCGGCGGCGGTGGCGGTGGCGGCTGCACGCCTGGGCTTGGCGCCTGCGCCGCGAGTAGGATGGGAAGGAGCGCGAGGGGCGTGAAGAGCCTAGGGCGCTTGCGCGCCGAGATGGACCATTCCTGGCGCACAGTGTGAAGAGGGGCTATCCGAGTCGGGCCACCGTGAGGCCAGCGCAGGGGCTTGCGGGCTTTGCCCCTCGCTGTCCGGGTTTACTTGGTACAGTCCGCAACCGGCCAGATGGAGAAATTGCAGGGCTCGCGCGTGCGTGTGCGGGGCAGGAACGCGCTTTATAGAAGACGGGATGAGCCGGGGGTAGGGGAACGCTAGCTCGGCCGGGAGTCGGGACCTGAGGCCTGTTCATTTGCATAATCTTTGCGCGGGACAATGGAGGCCTCAAGCACCAAATGGGGTGATTTGCATATTCCCCGGAAAAACTGTACTCAGGAGCGCAGTGATTAGCATATGTGGGGCGGGGGGCGCGCCTGAGCAAAGCGCATGAGCAGAGAGACTGCGGACTAGCGTGCAGCTGGTAGCCTTGGTTTAGTAGGAATCAGTTTGCCTCCGGAGAGGCGGCTCAAGGGTCAGGATCCTTACCGACCCTCACAATCCTCCAGCTCCAACCTGGATAAATAATTACTGCCCGTTTATGTGTCAGGCCCTGTGCTAGCAGGTACTATGGTTTCCGCAGTGAACAAGACATTACCCGGCCCCTATGGTCATGATGCCCCAAAGGAAGGAAATCCACACATAATCAGAACCACAATCTGGAGTGGTCAGATTTGGAATGAATGGAGCATAGGAAGGTGTGGGGGCTAGAGGAGGTGCCTGCCCCAGCCTGAAAAGGATTCCAGAAGGTGATGATCTTTAAGCCAAGGATTAATAGAAGCCAACTGGAATGGGAGTCATGCTGGCAGAGGGAAGAGTCTATGGTAAAGGCCTAGAGCAGTGGTTCTCAACCTGTGGGTCGCGACCCCTTTGACAGCCGAACGACCCTTTCACAGGGGTCGCCTAAGACCATCCTGCATATCAGATATTTACATTACGATTCATAACAGTAGCAACATTACAGTTATGAAGTAGCAACGAAAATAATTTTATGGTTGGGTCACAACATGAGGAACTGTATTCAAAGGGCCAGAAGGTTGAGAACCACTGGCCTAGAGGAAGAAAAAAAAAAAAAGCAATACATGATTTGACTGAGGAAGTGAAAGCAGATAGTATGCCTGGAACCCAGAATCAGGGGAAAGGCTCCTATAGGTGACACTGAGTTCAGACTTTATGCTGAAGATATTGTAGGAGTCCAGGCTTCCTGGAAGTGACTCAAATTCCAGCTTAAAACGCTCCAATGGGATCCCATTGTGCTTAGAAAAAATCCAAATTTTATCATGGCCTGGTCCTGTTTACCTCTGACCTCACCTACCTCTCTCTTTATCCTGACTAACTCCAGTTCCCATCAAACACCCCAGTCTTTGTCATCTCGGGTCCTTGCCCTTGTTGCTCCCTTTGCCTAAAAATGCGTTCCCTCTGATTTTCAAATAGCTGCTGGTGTTAACCATTCATATCTTGGCACAGATGTCAACCTGAGAGGCGTTTCCTGTTCTGTTTTTCTCTAAAGTAGCACCTCCAGATTTGCTCTAGAGAAGGGAGTGGGGTTGTGGATAAAGCAGGATTGGCTGTGAATTGATGGCTTTTGAAGCTGGGGTGAAGGATGCATGGACTTCATTGTTCTGTTCCGCCTATTTGTGTATTTGAAGTTTTCCATAATAAGTTAAAATAAAATAGTACTCCACATCCCCTTTCTCTGCATTTTATCTTAATGGCAACCTGAAATTAAGTTCTTTTTTCCTTGTGAAAGCTTCATGAAAACAAAACGCGGAGTCACCTTTTTCACTTTTGGGGCCTTATGTTTCAGATTTGTGTTATGCTGTCTGGAACACCAAATATTTGCCACTAGACCTTTGAGCAGCACCTGGCACACAAAGTAAGATATATATATATTTTTTTTTTTATAGGATTTGCGTATGTGTCAGGCGACTTATATTTTTTAATCTAAAATTAGAATCACTCATTTAAATTTTAGAGAATGAAGGGCCTGGAATACCAGGGTAAGGAGCTTTGACTCGCTCTACAGGTGATAGGGAGACAGGGTAAGGTTTTGAGAAAGGCGGGATCAGGGTGAGACGTGACTAACTGAAAGCTGCCCTGAAGACTGATGTCTGGGGTGGGGGTGAGCCACAGGAAGGGTCCAGGTCATGGGGTGGGGATAGGGTAGCTCAGTAATTACTGAGGAGGTAAGACTATTTGGCTGAACGAGTGTCTAGGAAAAACCGAGTTCCCCCCTCCAGGAGGGTCAGGGTGCCATTGCTGAGACCTCCTTTTGGCCTGTATGGTTCACCAGCAGCTCCTCTCCCTCCCCATTCCCAACAGGGTGCAGCTTCGGGCAGAAGGACAGACACACAACTACCACAAACGTGTTCTCTCCTCAGTTTAATGGTGGTTAGTGGGACTGCCACACCCCCTTCCCATTCCCCTCCCTGCCCCGTACAAAATGTTGTGTTGTGGTGTTTTGTTTTGTTTTGTTTTTACAAGAAAAAGGGGGCAAAAGCCAGGAATGGGGGAGGAGGGCATAATCTGATATTTTCATACAGATTTTTTATTTTTTTAATATATTATATATAAAACCATAGAGACCAACACCCTCCCTAAACTCCTTTCCTCCTCCCTGGAGTGGGGGGCCTGGAGGAGAGCTGGGGAAGGCCCCCCCAGGAGTGGGTGGACAGAGAGACAAATATAGATAGGACAGATGTGGGGGAGAAGGTAGAGGGAAGGGAAGCTGGAACCTGGGGAAGGGGGATTGGAGAAAAGGGCTGGGGCTGTCTCCCTCACCTCCTCCATCAAAGTTATGACACAAAGACACAGAATCCCTGTTTCCACACCCTCCCCCCCACCCTTACCCCCACCGTGCAAACATGGCTTTGCAAAGAGGTGCCCAGAGCTCTATGGAGCTCCTACAATGGCTGGCATGAGGTCTTGGACCCCCAAAGAAATCTGCGTTTCCCTTCCCTGCCCACCCCACCCTTCCCAGAATCTGATCCCCTCCCCACATGACCTGGTTCTGCAGCTTTGGGGCCCTGGCCTTCCCCCTGTTATCTTCCCCCAACCCAATCCCTACCGCCCTCCCTGGACTTGGGGGATCTGGACCTTTGGCCCCTACCCCCTGGGGGACCCCAGACCTCTGGGACCTTGCTTCTGGCCCTCAAAGAGACCTAGGCATATGACACCCCCATCCCTGCCCAAACGTCTGAGGTGTTAGTGGTGGGGAGAGATGCCCACCATCCCAGACTCTGGTAAATGTCTTTGCAGCTGGCAGTGGGGTGGACCCTCGCCCAGGCCCAGGCCTGGGGTAGAGACGGGTCAGATGAAGAATTCTTCTTTCCTCTTGTGTCCGTCACTGCCATTGAGGAAGGCTTCTCTCGCTTCTCCCTGCTCATCCAAGCCACTGGCCTCGTGGGTCAGATAGGAGCCTGAGGGGTGACCCAGGAGTTGGACAGAAATAAACGGGAAGAAAGAGACAGACAAGACAGATATCAGACAAGGAAGAGGGAGAAAAGGAACACAGGGAACAGAGGGAATCAGGACCAGGGAATAGCAAAATGGGCAGAGAAAGAGGTGAAGCAGAATTAGGTCGATACCAAAAGTTCATGGAAAGATCAACCCTGATCTGTTCTCTTACTGACATCCCCTTGCTCTGTTCCCAAACGAATCCAGCAATTAGGAAGGTAAATCGTTTAATTTAAACTCACGGATTTAATTCCGCTTCAACGTTTCACCCCTTTTATTCATGGGCAAAACACCTGCCCCTGTGGGAATGTTGGCCTCAGATCCCACAGGGTTTGAATCCTGGTTCTACTAGGCTCTGCCCTGTCTCAAATTCAGTCTCTACGCCCCGCCCCCTTAACCAATCCAGCAACCAACTGCAACCCTCGCTGAATTCAGACCTCCCTCCCCTCCACCCCCCAACCACTCACCCTTCTGCCGTACCGAGCACCAGACCATGCCCACCAGCACACATATGATCAGAAACACCAGTAGCGCCAGGATGCCGCCCACAATGGCGTAGGGCACGGACGTCTGAGCCTCTACCACCGCACCGGGGTCTGCCAGAGGAACAGGGCGCAGGACCAGGTCATCGGAGCACGGTCCCAGCCCGGCCCATAGCTGCCAACCTGTTAAATTATTCCGCCCACCCCCTCTAACCGCTCCCCCTTAACGTGCCATGCCCCTCAAATTGCTGCCACCTGCTGGGCCTTTCTCATGGCTTCCCGCTTTCCTGATGTTCCACGACCTCCAGGAATGCCTGCTGGATTATACACCCCCCCACTGGGTCCTGAGTCATTTTGCTAGTACCTGCTCTGAATCCTTTCCTCACCCCACCCCCAGAGATCAGAAACAACACATCCCTCTTCTTGGGACTATGCTTCTTCCCCCGTAGAACCTCGGGTCCAAGTCCCTTACCATATTTTATCCAAAATGCTTCTGGTATCTACAATGCTATCTAGGGCCCAAACATTTCCAAAATTCCTGCTGCACCATCATAAGAGTTTAACACGTAGCATTTTTTTTTTTTTTTGCTAGGGGCTTTCCAACCGCTTTATTTACTTTTATATTTTTGGTTAATCCTCCCCCGATAATATTTTTTCATTGATCTTGTAGAGACAGTGGGAGAGAGGGAAAGACAGAGAAACATCATCTATTGGTTGCCTCCTGCACCTGCCTTGACCAGGGTCAGGTCGGGGGAGGAGCCTGCAACCAAAGTACGTGCCCTTGGCGGGAATTGAACCCAGGGCCCTTTGGTGTGCAGGCTGACGCTCTATCCCCTGAGCCAAACCGGCTAGGGTCCTTCCAACCACTTTATATATTTAGCTCATATAATCTTCATAAACCCTGACATAGGTGCTATTGTTCATTTTCACTTTACCCATGAGGAAACGAAGGAGCAGACTATGTCACCGGCAATAGGATGTTGCAGAGACAAAACTGAACAATAAGAACTTTGTGGGCTGTTGAACCTAGAATCACTTTGCACAGGCCCCGCCCACCCAGGACGAGGCAGGGACCCCGGGAGGCCACGCCCCTGCCCTGAGCCCCGCCCCCAGGCCCCAGCAGCCTGCACTCACCGTAGACCACGAGCACATAGAGCGCCCTCGCGTGGCCGTGCTTGTTCGACGCCTCGCAAGTGTAGGTGCCATTATCTGCTGATACCAGGCCAGGCAGCGTAAGCGTCTCCCCGAACGCCTCGGCCCGCTCCGGCAAAGACTCATTCCCGCGGCTCCAGCGGATCTGATTTGGCCTGGACGAGGGTAAAGGACAGTGAGAGTAAGGGACGCAGGCGCCAGCATCCAATCCTGACTTCTCAGCAATCTATGGAGCATCGAGGAATAAGAGGGTCCCTCCTCAGGCATCTCGGGCCCCAGAGCTCACCTGGGGTTCCCCGTGACGGCACACGTCAGCACCAGTGTGTCTCCCTCCCTCACCACAGCCTGCGAGGCATGGATCCGGGCCGTGGGGGAGTCTGCAGGCAGAAGTGCGATGGGAGAGTGGCTGTCATGGCCGCCACGCGGGGTTGGAGCCCTCCCGGGTCCGGCGGCTGGCGTGGGGACCGCCCCGCCCGCCGGCTCCCCGCCCCCGGGCACTTACACTGCACGTCCAGCACGTACTGCGTCTGCTTGATGTGCCCCGAGGGCAGCGCCTGGTTCTGCGCCTCGCAGATGACGATATCGCCGTCGTCCTTGCGGTCCACGCGGAACCTCACTGTGCTCGCCACGCTCCATACCTTGCCATTTTCCCTGCTGCTGCTCA